TACATGCGGTGTATTTCAAAGTACTGCTATCTGTCTATATTGTCTGTGCTTAACGCTGTTTTCCTGATGAAGCAGGAGTGCTTTACTAATCAGTCTGATGATGTCTTTTCAGATTACATCAGATATGACTATGTGAATAGCCTAGGATAGCCCAAAGGAAGGACAGGATGTCAGAATAGCATACAAAACGTTTGTGAGGTATGTGTTGGGGTTTTTTTCTGTTGTGCTAAAAAGAATCTTGGTTGCCTTTAATGCAGTTAAACAAAATGCATACACTACTTTTATGCCATTTCATTTGTATGCTAAAAGAGCTGCTCACCCAATTGATCTAAAATTCACATTTGTCGTTACAGATACAAATACTGATTACTTTTTTTTTGTCAGTAAAGAAATGTTTCCTAATATCCAACCTGAACTTCCCCTGGTGCAACTTGAAGCCATTACCCCTTGTCCTGACATCTGTAACTTGGGAGAAGAGACCGACCCCCGTCTCTCTACAGCCTCCTTTCAGGTACTTGTACAGAGCTATAAGGTCTCCCCTCAGTCTCCTCTTCCCCAGACTGAACAACCCCAGTTCCCTCAGCCTCTCCTCGTAAGACTTGTGCTCCAGACCCCTCACCAGCTTCGTTGCCCTTCTCTGGACCCGCTCCAGCACCTCAATGTCCCTCTTGTGGTTGGGGGCCCAAAATTGGACACAGTACTCGAGGTGGGGCCTCACCAGTGCTGAGTACAGGGGGACGATCACCTCTCGGGCTCTACTCGCCACACTGTTCTTGATACAGGCCAGGATGCTGTTGGCCTTCTTGGCCACCTGGGCACACCTGGGCACACTTGTGGGTTTTCTAAGTGCATATTCCCTTCGGCATAGTTGTGGGCATATTCTCTTATATACAGATTCTGGAAAGAGTAGCTTCTTTATTTTAAATTTGCCATAGCTTGATCTAATAATTAGACTTAAAAAAATTTTTTTTCATACCTTAAATTACAGTTATAAAAATAGTGATAGGCATGCATGTTTGCTACTAATAGTCTGCTATCAAAAACCTTGCTGTAAGCTCTGAAGACTATCAAGCAAGATTATTCATAGTCTATCTCTTAGTCATACAGGAGTGGCAAATGGAAAAAAAAAATGTAGGTCTTTGGATACATCAGTTTGCAATGCTAAAATCTGGATATCCGACTCATCTTAAAAAACAATGAACAAGACAGATATAATGTTCCTTAAAACACTGTTTCGAGTTTTTTAGTTTGTCATTTGATAGCTTAATCTAAAAGGTTTTTTGCTTTTGATCAGAAGCTGGTTTGCTGTAAGTACATGCGGTGTATTTCAAAGTACTGCTATCTGTCTATATTGTCTGTGCTTAACGCTGTTTTCCTGATGAAGCAGGAGTGCTTTACTAATCAGTCTGATGATGTCTTTTCAGATTACATCAGATATGACTATGTGAATAGCCTAGGATAGCCCAAAGGAAGGACAGGATGTCAGAATAGCATACAAAACGTTTGTGAGGTATGTGTTGGGGTTTTTTTCTGTTGTGCTAAAAAGAATCTTGGTTGCCTTTAATGCAGTTAAACAAAATGCATACACTACTTTTATGCCATTTCATTTGTATGCTAAAAGAGCTGCTCACCCAATTGATCTAAAATTCACATTTGTCGTTACAGATACAAATACTGATTACTTTGTTTTGTCAGAATCTTGATGTCTGTTCTGATTTTAAGGTAACTTGTTGATTTGAGCAGCTGAAAACTTGCCTTGATTGAATAATAGTTGTCTATTTCTTCTTCTGAGGAATTGCACCTTAGCTGGAAGGAATTCCAAATTTGTGTTCTGTAGGAAGATTCAGAATTGGGAGGTTGGTTTTGATTCATTGATTACTCTGAAACATTTCAAAACGTCTGTGCACTAGAAGGTCTTGAAGGAATGGTGTTTCTAAACAGTCCTTTGGTGAGGGGGGGAAATAAAAAATGATATTTTGTTTGAAAAAATGTTCCAAATCCCTTGTGTATTGATTTAAAAAAAAAAAATGGGGGAAAAAATGCTAAAAAAAAAAAAGATAAAAGTTGGTGCGTTTGCCATTGTTATTTTGGTTGAATTTATCCTGAATTTGAGTTAACAAAATCAGAATTTGCCAGAGAAAAAGATTTTGACAAAATACTGATGTGTGAATGCACTGTATTTGTGTGTTTCTGCAGTACTGCTGCTTACCTCTTTAGAAGTTTGGCTCTTTAGAGTGATTTGTTGGATATTTTGTGTGTGTGATAACTTTGCTTGGCTGTCAGCTCTTCATATACTTCAAGGCTTAGTTGAAAGTTTATTGTACATACTTTTTGTGGGTCTTTTTTTTTTTGAGAGAGAAAAAGGTTGACAATAACATTTCTTAAAAGTTTTGTAGGCTTATTTTTGATGATATAATAGCTGATTTGCCTGCTTACCTTCATGTTCCAGCTGCTAATTATGTAGTTTTCATGAAACTTGATTTTTCTTTTACAAGTCTTGACCACAAGGAGTGGTTGATGTCCCAGAATGCTATTGAAATTAATTGGCATAGATTGTAATTTTATCTGTAAATATTTAGAAAGGTCAGAACAACTTCAAGTAGCTAAAAAGTGAGGCCCTTTACTTATCAAGGTTAAGTTGTTTGAATTGCTTTTCAGGGAGGTGAAGTTTATTCTTTTCTAAGATGGCTTAATAGCTGCATTCTAGTAGAAGAGGTGACTTTTGTGGAGAGAAAAAAAAAAACAACCCAAAAACCAAACCAAAAAACCCCCAAGGCGTGGATGGAGAACACAATGTAGCCCACACTTAAAGTCTCCTATGAGTATTCCCGCCAGCTATTTTTACTGTTACTCTGGGATTTTTACACTGCAGTCTGTAGATACTTGTTTTCCTTGCTAGTCTCCTGCGTTATTCCTGTCTAGTTCTAGCATTAAGACTTAAGAATCAGAAGTATTTGCTAGGCAGAATAAGTTTATCAAGGTCTCCAGCTACAAGGTATATATTCAAGGTCTTGGGATGTAAACTGAAGTGCCATAATTCCTACCAGTCGTATATAGGCTACCATTAATAAGGGGGGAGGAAAGGAGGCATCTCCATGACTGTCATCAATCAATATAAATGCTTTCAAGTTTCTCTCAGACATGGCCTTTAACAGCCTGAATCAATATGATTTTTAGAACACAGTATAATTTTAAAGTAGCAGGCTATTCTTGATGCATAATGTTTAAGCTTTAATTTGTCGCCTGTTTGTTGATAGCACTTTAGTTCTGCCATTTTGTATCTTTGCCTGTTAGAGATGTCTGGAAAATCTGTTTTCATGAAAACTATGAAAGTTTCAAGTCTTGTTTTTGTTCCACATTGGAACAACAACAAAGCCCTAAAAAACTTTTCATGAAATTAAATTAATTAATGTGTTCTTTGAAAATCTGATTCATGTAATTCATTGTTGTGCTAATTTAACCACGAACATTTGTTTCCCTTAAGTTTGGTCTGATCTGAGACTAATACAATGTATCTTTTTAACAGGTTTGGGTTTTTTTCAACACAATAGCACTTTTGTCAACAAAGTTAGGTTTTTTCTAACTGGCGCTGAGCATTTTTGTAACAGGTTTGGGTTTTTTTCAACACAATAGCACTTTTGTCAACAAAGTTAAGTTTTTTCTAACTGGCGCTGAGTTTTGTTTTGAACAATGTACTAGAACAGCCTTATTTCCATCTTGCTTTTTCCTTCTGCTCTTCCCTGGGTTGCTGGAGCAGTATTAAAAGTGAACAGTCTGGTGCCATAATTTTCTGTTTTCCAAGAGACATGAGCTGTAATTTAATGAAGACATTTTAATTTGAGATAAAAGAAAGACGTTGCATTTTTAACAAAAGGGGAAGAATGATTTACAGGCACAGCAAGATGGAAATGAAACCATTCTAAAATCCCTTTTTCAAGTGTTGAATTTGATTTAAAGCTTTTTCCTTCTGCTCTTCCCTGTGTTGCTGGAGCAGTATTAAAAGTGAACAGTCTGGTGCCATAATTTGCTGTTTTCCAAGAGACATGAGCTGTAATTTAATGAAGACATTTTAATTTGAGATAAAAGAAAGACGTTGCATTTTTAACAAAAGGGGAAGAATGATTTACAGGCACAGCAAGATGGAAATGAAACCATTCTAAAATCCCTTTTTCAAGTGTTGAATGTGATTTAAAAAAAATGTTATGGGAATATAAAGCTCAGTAACTGTCTTACAAAATTGCTGATGAAACTTTGTAAATGAGTATCTTTTGATTACAGCGATACTTCATCTTTTTGTAGTCTTTAGAATTGTTCCGGTTTTGATAAAAAAATAAAAAAAAGTAGTCAGTTAAAAAAATGTTATGGGAATATAAAGCTCAGTCACTGTCTTACAAAATTGCTGACGAAACTTTGTAAGTGAGTATGTTTTGATTACAGCAATATTTCATCTTTTTGTACTCTTTAGAATTGTTCAGGTTTTGATAAAAAACTAAAAAAAAAATAGTCAGTAATCTATTATGAACTTGAATATGTTTTATCTTACCGAAATAAAAACTGAGAGCCACCTATATTTCCAGTTTCCTCACACTCAGTGATGGTATCTGTGCTTCCTGCAGGGCAAGGCCAGAAAACCATGCAGTCATCAGGGCACAGATTCCGCGATGTCGAGCACCACCCGCTTCTGGCTGAAAATGACAGCTACGACTCCTCTTCCTCGGAGGCCGACATGGCAGAGAGGGTTTGGTTCATCCGAGATGGCTGTGGTATGGTCTGTGCTATCATGACGTGGCTTCTGGTTGTCTATGCAGACTTCGTAGTGACTTTTGTCATGTTGCTGCCTTCCAAAGACTTTTGGTACTCTGTGATCAACGGGGTTCTCTTTAACTGCCTGGCAGTGCTAGCGTTGTCATCGCATCTGATATTATGAACTTGAATATGTTTTATCTTACCGAAATAAAAACTGAGAGCCACCTATATTTCCAGTTTCCTCACACTCAGTGATGGTATCTGTGCTTCCTGCAGGGCAAGGCCAGAAAACCATGCAGTCATCAGGGCACAGATTCCGCGATGTCGAGCACCACCCGCTTCTGGCTGAAAATGACAGCTACGACTCCTCTTCCTCGGAGGCCGACATGGCAGAGAGGGTTTGGTTCATCCGAGATGGCTGTGGTATGGTCTGTGCTATCATGACGTGGCTTCTGGTTGTCTATGCAGACTTCGTAGTGACTTTTGTCATGTTGCTGCCTTCCAAAGACTTTTGGTACTCTGTGATCAACGGGGTTCTCTTTAACTGCCTGGCAGTGCTAGCGTTGTCATCGCATCTGAGAACTATGCTGACTGATCCAGTAAGTATGCCTTTGTTCCTTGATGGTGAATTGTTCTCTCCTGTAGTTCATCGTCTGTGGAGAAATTTGGAGAAGTGGTATCAGCTTCCTCCTGCTAGGAAAAGTAGTGTTAGATGCAGAACCCTCAAGGTGAAGGGATGATGTCTGTACTTTTCCTGTTGTTCTGTTAATGAATCCCTAAATAATTTTTAACTTGAGGAGCAGACAGTATAAAATTAATTTATAAGGGAGTGGTAGGATCATGAGAAATACAGTTTATTTGTTAAATATAACCCAGGTTCTGAAAAGCTAATAAAGCTTTACTCTTTTCTGTCCTATTTTTGCTTACGTATTTGGCAGATAGATTTTCAAAACTTCCTAAGATATTGTAGCTTGATCCTGTTGTATCATTTGAAATGTATCTTCTATTTAATGGTGCGTGAACGAACTTTTAGAGGTAGACATGCTGAAAAACCTCAGTCATGTATTGACATAAAGTAAGAACTACTGTCCTACATGATTGGTGCATTTAGGTATTTGGAGTCAGTGGGAATGGAGATTTAAGTTGAATCCACATTGGAACAGTGTAGGTGTAAGAGGTCTTGGAAGTGCTCATTTCTTAGGACTTTTACGCTTCAATTCAAGAGTTTGAGAGATGAAATTGTAGATTTTGTACTAAAATCTATTACTCTTTTTAGGGAATAAATCTGGGGAGAGAGGTGCAAGAGGGAAAACATCCATTTTCTCCAGATTTTTTGAGACAGTAACAGTGTATATAGAAGTTATGGGAGTGTTCAAAAAAAACCAGCAGGGTGTTGCAGTTAATGTTTTCTAGGTCTTTGATTTACTTCTGAGCCCACACCCAATGATGAAATGTTGACTTCTACAGACTGTGACAGCTAAGGATAGATTGCTTAAAAAATACATCCTCGTAAAATTGTGTGTCTTTGTAGACATAATGTTGTTCTTTATGGATAAAATATGATAGAAATTGAGATGAATCACTGCCTTTTTTTTCCTCCACTCCTTTCCTACTGACTCCCAGAATGGAAGACAGGACTGTGTGACAGAAATTAAGATTCAAGGAAAAAAGGAATAAACTGCCTCAAAACATATGTGAATTAAATTTACTCTTATAACTATAAAAATAGATTTTTCACTGAAAGGAATTGGTGACCGTCTGAGACTATGAAAGATGTTTTGAAATGGAGCATATTTTTATCAGCAAAATGCTAAAATCGTAGCCTGAAGTTACTGTCCTTGGTGACAGGTGAATAGGTGAATGTGAGATGTGTTTTATGAATTATATATAAATTTACCTGGAATAAGATACATTTCTGCTTTAGGAGTTCTCTCTGAGATAATTCACCATGTTTACACCAGAGTATTAGCTTGAATGAGAACATTCATATTGCAAAAACCACTTAAGCATTACAATGTGAGCGTTTAAGGAACTCTCTGTCAGTTTGTGTCCCTGCGCACGCCAGCTGGCTGGGGTTTGAAGCACCACTCAGCCCAAGAGCTCCGCTGGGGCAGGACCGGGGCTGTGTCTCGGGCAACACAAACACAAGATTGTTATTCCGGGCAAGAGGCAACAAAAAACTTTCTGCCTAAGTGTAGAGGTGTTTTGCAATTGAATCTCAAGTGCCTGCTGGTCTCTTAATTCTGTCCCAAAAACTTCCTTACGGTGTCTGTGTAAAAGTGGTGATGTTGCCAGTGGGCTTTTCTTGAATGACAAATAATTACAGACCGTTGCAGTTGACTTTAGCCAACCTGGAGAAGGCTCTCCCTGTGTGAAGTGCTTGCCTGGAGGAGTTGCTGTAGAAAGAGCCTTGCACTTTTATTTCACAATCACTTCCTGTCACAGAGAAGCTTTTAGCTTCATAAACAATCAAGGTGACAGTGGTACTTTCCATGATTTTCTTCTTACTAATCCAAAGTTAGATTCTGATTTTGTGAGGCTTTAGGTTAATATTGTTAGAAATACTGAAACAATCCTGACTGCTGTTCCTGTCTGGTCATCATCTTCCTCATTGTGTTGAAACAGCTCAGAGAACTGATCGCTAAACAATAATTTATTTTCCTGATGGATTATTTTAATTCTGCATCAGTTCCTTCAACTGCTTACCATGTAGCTACGCAAACTTTCACGGCAGCAGGGGACAGTAGATGTGGAATAAAGAAACCAGTGGTGGTTCATGGTGATGGTGTCCAAGCTAAAAGCTCAAGTATAAAGGAAAAAAGAATGACTATTGGTTCTCAAAAACTTGTGTACGTGGGGCAGGTGGCTAAATCTTGGATTCAGGGAGCTGAAATAACATCTGTCAAGTAGTCCAAGCTAAAAGCTCAAGTATAAAGGAAAAAAGAATGACTATTGGTTCTCAAAAACTTGTGTACGTGGGGCAGGTGGCTAAATCTTGGATTCAGGGAGCTGAAATAACATCTTTCAAGTAGTTGGTTGTTGCTGATTTAAGTTTTGTGGATGTCTTGGTCTAATAATCAAGCATTGCAACAATTAAGGTACACTGCTGTAAGAAAGCACATCTCTTTCAGTAGTGGTCATTCAGAGTAACTTCTCAGTGAACATTGTACCTCTCGTGCTTCTATCTGAGTGTAAAAATGAGTCTTCATTTTATCCGTGCTGGTGAAAGCAGATTTTGTCAGAATTATGCTAATACTTGGCCATAGATTAGTCTTGCCAAAATGAAACTGGATTTGAGGTCAAGCAGAGGTAATTTATTCGTTTGGAAATGATTCTGGTTTATGGCAGACTAGCTTTGAGTAAATGAACTTATTTCAGCAGTTATCCTGAGATTACTGGTGTGAAGTCTATATAATGTATTTTTAAACACTCTCATACCATTTAAGAAGCTTTCTCTCCTTTAATTGAAATGATTTCAGGGGGCCGTACCCAAAGGAAATGCCACTAAAGAATACATGGATAATTTGCAACTGAAACCAGGAGAAGTGATCTACAAATGTCCAAAGTGCTGTAGTATCAAACCTGAACGTGCACACCACTGCAGGTATGCCAGAGCTTTCTTTAAAGTGGTTATGCATATTGAGTCTTGGAATAATGTTCCTGTTATTTCTGTGTTAATTTTTTTCCCCACAAGTTTCTTTTGGTATCCAATAAACTTTCAAATTCATACATTGCAGAGTGTTTTATAAATATGATAAATGATGGCCAAAAATGAACGTGAATCAGGGGAAAGAAGGAAGAGACTCAGGAGTTTTTAAAAATATGAAAAATATGCAGACTGTGGTATCTTAAATACTTTTTGATCTGTGAATATTTTTTCCTCTGCATCATATTGTGCCAGACTGTTGATAATGCAGGGTAAAGGGAAGAATCTCAAGGAAATTTCTGATAGAAACTTATTTAAGAAATTACTCCTGCAGTCTTAAATTAAGAAAATGTGGATTAGTTTTAAACTGTCACTTTAATTTGTGTCTTCTTGTCTTCATAGTGCATTATTTGAAGTTACATGTTAATTGACAGATTATTTTCCCAAAATTCTGTGCATAATTGGTTAAATGCACTTCTGCTTATTGAAGATTAATTTTAATAAGGACAAAAGTGATGGTAATTTGAATTTAACATGCTATGGAAGAGATAGTAAATTTACCCATTTTTAATTAATTCTCAGTCTTTTGAGTTTTCAGGCACTGTGGTTATGCATGTGTAATGTTTATTGTGTGAGAGTTGGAAATAGATATGCCTGCATAATTAAGACTTACATAAATATGTAAATGTTCCTGGTGGCTCTCTAGGTGTGAGGAGTGATGCGTATTGAATTGTGTGGCGTATTAAATTCAAGTTTCTGAGTTAGCTCCCATCAGAAGAACAGAGCGAAGTCTTGTCAGGGCTCTCAAATTATTCTGTAAATTTGTGGTTTCTAAATTAAATGTCTTGGTGTATGTCACTTATCTGTGTGAAAGTTATGGCTGAGAAGCTATTTCCATTATAAATACCCTGCCTTGGCACGGAAATCTTGCTCCTCTCTCAGATGTGAGTGGGTTTTTGTATCTGGAGTGTGAAGGGAAAAGTTTCATGTATAAATAGTCAAGTATAGAATTATCTCTAGTGAGTTTATCTGTGGCGTACGTTGGTTTTTGTGCAGATTGGGGTACCCAGGCCTGCCTTCACGTGTGATGAGTTTGGTTCTGGCTGGCTTTATCAGCTCCAGTAGTGCATTACACCATCACAGCTGTACGCGCGCCCCGCGGGCCTGGGGGTGGAAGCAGTGCAGCTGCTTTCTCGTGGCAGAATATAAGCTGTTAATCTCTGGGGATCCAAAACAGCTCTGTGCAGGCTGCTCAGATGTCCTGGCACTGTGTCCGTGGGACGTGGTTAAAGGGACACCTGAGAGCCTCTGTTGAGCCTGGGTTGGATCTTGCTAATGTTCTCTTCTCAGATTTACGCTGGCTCCTACGGAGACTTTGCAGGTATCTTTGTAAAGCGTTTCCCACATCTACGATCCCCATAGGATTTGCTAATTTAGAAGCAGCCCTAAATGAAGACATCTTATGTTGAATTCTACGTATGAGTGAAGAAGCTGGAGTATCAGAGAGCCCAGAGCCGCTGCAGTTCCGTGCCCTGCAGAGTCCCTTGGGTACATCATCCTCAGCAGGCACTGTATTACCTTGGATGTGCTGGTAGCCTGTGATCCCAGATAAGGCGGTGTTGGCTGAAAGGTTATTATTTCTTTGTGAAAGAAGAATAAAAATAAGCTAAGTAGGGACTTTGAATACATTTTTAATAGCAAGAATTTGAGTGGCATTTACTATTATAGCAGAGCAAGAATGGGTAGGGTCTACAGCGAAGGAAATCTGTGCTACTTTCAAAGGGTTTGTTTCCACTAACCACTGGTTCAAGGACCTAGCTTTGCATATCTTGGGAACTGTTTTACTTTTCTATACCTTGGTCAAATACCTTGGGCAAAAGGTGCATTTTAATGCTTTCAGAGTGAATAACTGGCTTCACAGAACATCTGAAAGAGGAAGTCAGACCCTGAAAGTGTATGTGCTATCCTTTTATAAGCCTGCTGTCATGTTTTTCTCAGCAGTTGGGTGTCTGGTTTAATTGCCTTTGTTTCTGTTACTTGTAAAATACATGCTACTAGTAGTTGCTGCTAACTTTTCTTAAGTCAAACAAAGGATTCTTCTCTGATTTTTTTTTTAATGTTGAGTACATGCTGCATAGACCAGCTACCAGAATCTGGTTCTTTGCCATAGATTTAGCACTGCGGAAGCGTACCGAAGAGAAAAAAGGTTTGTTTGATTATACTGCCAACATTTTATTGGTTTAGAAACCCATTCCAAGGACATTAAAAGGATGGTCTAGTCCCAAGTAGTCAAAGTGGCAATTTACTGATAGAAGAGACTTGAAAATGGAAATTGGAGTTGGTTCCTGTTGGGAAATAGTTACGCTCAAAGCCACAGTGCATGTTTTGAGTAGTAAATTATTAACAGAAGAGGCTCTTATGATGTAGTTATGAAAATTGTTGTGCAACACTGCAGCAGAAGTTCTTTTGGGGAAGAAAAATAGTTTCATAATACACATTAGTGATGGGAAAAAGAGCAAGAAATCTTTATTTACAGCTAAATAACTAGCCTTGCTGAAATATATTAAACTGAGATTTTACTAAGCAGTTAACAATTTAATAAGCAAGAGGCTTAGCCTGAGTGAATACTATTTCATTTTCGGTGAAGGAGCACAGCTGTCATTATTTCAAGCCCGTTCTGGGTGCCTGTGTTTGTGTGTGGGGAACCTGTTATTAAGAATCAAGTCACTGAGATGTTTCCATCAGTCTTCCTGTGAATTTCTGTTCTCCCGACCAATTTCTCTTAAGCCATTAGCTGTGTCTTTCTGAATGTTATATTTGGCATGCAAAACGGGAATTGCACCTGCAGTTGCCTGAGTAGATTCAGCAGCAGAGCCAAGCTGGAGAAGACCTTCCCTTGTCCACAGCTGCTTGTTCTCACTACCATAGTGGTTCTGCCTCTTGTGTGAGTGTTCACGCACGGTGAAATGACCCAGGTTCATGGAATGACCCAGGTTCATGGAATGACGCAGCTGATGGAATGATTTCCCAAAACTCTTGCCTGATGAACATCTGTGCTTGGACACGGGAAGGAAGGAGTAGAATACAAGCGACGGGTAGGAAGAAAGAAGGCAGAACCACTGTTTTAAGCATTCCTGCGAGTTTGTTGGCTGGGAAGTGTTCGTTGAATTGTGGTGTGAGATTAAAAATGAAGGCAGGGTTCCAGACATCTGATGTCTTAGAGAGCTCTGCGTGGGCTTGTGAGAAACACTGAATGAGCAAAAGTGTGTCCTGCCCACCTCACATCCTCCACTGTTTGGCTTGACTGAGTCTGGGTAGGATTTTACTCAGTTCTTCACATTAATATGCTTTTTAGAGTGACAGTGTATATTCTGTGTTACATTAGGAGGCTTGCACGGCTGTGGTTACTGGAGTTAGCTCACCTTCCCACAGAGCTCAGGAAATTAATGGGAGGCTGAACAGGCAACAGGCTGTGAAGTGAAAATCTTTTGGAGAGCCTTCTCAGTGCCTTCTCGTGAATGGTACCTGTTTTTTCTGCACTAGAGAATGGTTGTGGTGTTTAGTTACGATATTAGGATTTTCACGTGTAACTGGCAGTATTTAAACAGTAATTTGCATCAGAGGATGAATCATCTTTAATGTCCATAAAACAAGAGGCAGTGGGAACATAAGGGCTGGGTTATGATAGCTCAAGGCAAAGGGAGCTTCAGAGGAGCAGTGAGAGAGCATATAACCTGCACAGGAGTATGTTCTGCCTCTTGCTGAATTACCTTATAAGCAAGCATGTGTGATGACTTAAAAATTATTTTATGCCTCAGAGCATTGATTTCCTACACACACAGACACTCCTTCACTTTAGTGACAATCATCTAGCTTTACTTCGTGGCTTGTCATTGCAGCCCTCATAGATACCACACATAAATAAGCATGCATTAAAAACCAAAGGATTTTGAATAGTAGTTCCTGCATTTTTTAGGCTAATTTGGCGTTGTAACTGATGAAATAAAAATATTTAATATTTTGGGCCTTGTGCGGGAAAATCTAAAACACTTTGAGTGTGCAGCTATCTTAAGTACAAAGCTAGGAAAATGAAATATCAACATTACTTAAGCTACTTGTTTAAGTTCAACACATGTTGAAACTCTTATGTTTATCTTGTATAACTATTCCTGTTTGGCTGCAGATGGACCTGAATATAAGAGAAATGAGCCCTCTGGTACTGTATGGCCTAGCAGACATAAAGTGGACTTACTGAAATGCTTGACTTTTCTTTCTGGAAATAACCTTGACACAGAAACTAAGCAATTACTTCCAGGATTAGCAAAGAACTGTAGTGTTTAAGTATTCATTAACAAATATGCAAAGAGTGTGTGCTGCTTATAGTTTCAATATTTTTGCTTTATGTTGAAGTGAAGTGTGACGTGGTTACTGGGTTTGCTTGATTGTGTGCTTGGATATGTAATGATGCTCATATTAATACTGTTTTTCTTACGTGAAGAGTATCTTACCTATGCAGTTTTATAACAAGCAAAAGCTGAGTTTTAAGTGAGCAAACAAAATGTTAGTAAAATCATTGTTTGCAGTTTTCAAAACAGGAGATTTCAGCACATCATTTTATGACCGCTAGATACTCTTGTTTCTACATTAAAATGCAAAGTATTGTTTCTCAACAAAAGTCTTTCTTCCTTTACTTTAGTATTTGCAAACGATGTATTCGAAAGATGGATCACCACTGTCCATGGGTGAATAATTGCGTGGGGGAGAAAAATCAGAGATTTTTTGTTCTGTTTACGGTAAGCAAAAATCAAGAGCAACTTGATCTCAGTGTGAATCTACCTTGATTGTATCAATTTTGGTTGTGCTTAGTATTGAGTAAAGGCTTAAGGTCACAATTGTTTTGTGCTGTGTTTTTTTTCCTTCTATGCAAGATATTTTCCAAGTAGGAATATATTTCTACTCATACTCATTTTAATCTTGTAAAGTACAGTTATTTTAAACTATCTTAATTTTGCTGTGCTTTATGTAGTAGCAATTAGTGAAATGGTTCTGTGATTTAGAGAGCCAATCCTTAAATTTTCATTGTTGCCCACATTTTTAGGTTCAGACTTAACTAGAATTTGTTTTTACATCATTGTATTGAATTAAAAATTGAAATAAGAAAGTATATTCACTGTGCAGTGGTGAAGGCTGGCTGAAAGGAATGTCTGGTTTACTACCTGGCAGCAGTCAAAAGTAAGCACTCTCTCTTATTTCCAGATGTATATAGCCCTAATTTCAGCTCATGCGCTCATACTGTGTGGGTTTCAGTTTTTCTCCTGTGTCCGAGGGCAGTGGACTGGTAAGCAAATACTTCACTTTCACTGTCGTAATCTAGTAGATATTAAGGGAAAGTCATGGCATTCCACCTATTTCCATCCCATGCGTAAAATATTACAGGACTTCGATCTTTTTAAAGTGAGCTCCTGAAAATGTTTCATACCTGTTTACCCATCTCCTTCTTTTTAATTTTTTTTTTCCTTTCCTTTAGTCATTTCACTCCAAGAGCTGTTGCTGTCAAGGGTGTTCTTGCTGCCTTTTCACATAGTAAAAATTTACCACCTCTGTAATAGGAAGGAAATGGATAGCTGGTCCTCAACCACCTCAGCAGTATATTACCTGAAGCTGCCAGCTGGGCTTTGTGTGTCCCACCGCAGTTCTTTGAACAGCAGCTGAAATTTTAAACAAATTTCTCCCTCATTCTGTTACTGGAGCCAACTGTGGGTCTCCTGCAGAAAAGAAATTTCCTAAACTGTCATAGTTGTTTGTTTGGGGCTCTGACTTGCATTTCTTACTGCTCCAGTGGGCCAGAGCTCATTCTGATCTTGTGCTTTTGACAGAAGATGGTTGATCGTACGTTCTTTCTGGTACCTGAAGCAGGAGGGGAATCCATGTGACTTTTTTTCCTGAATATTCTGTTAAATGGGTGGAATCTTAGTCCTTTTTTACCTTGAAACATTCTGCTTCCTGTATACTATCCCATTTCTTTGTTTAACTATAATTGAGTTAATCAATTGATCAGAGGATCTCCAGAGATGTGACTTTAAGTCAGAATCTGATTGCTTTGTGTGGTGGATTAAAAAAATAAATAATTATAAAGCAATTACAGCAAAATGGAACATCTGGATTAACGAGCAAATCAGAGCTGACAGTGGTGATGTTTTTTACAGTGTTTGTCATGCATGAAACTTCAAGCTGCTCCGATCTTTATGTGTGCAGTTCTGAGTACATAAATAGTCTCATGTGCAAACATTTATTTGATATCCTTGAAATATTGAGGCAGGATTGCAGTAATGCAGTACCGTGTGCTTTATAGGAAGCCAAAAGTGTTACTTCCTTTAAATTCTTTGTTTCCTTGGACAGCAAATAAATCTGCTGCAGTGCTAGAAATGAGAAGTTTGATATAATTGTGAAATGTTGTTTCAAGTGTCAGATATTTAGCTTTTATTGCTGTTTGTTGAAGGGAAGTTGTCTCAGTATGAATATGCTCTGTGGATTTTTTTAGGGTTGTTTTTTTTTTTTTTATAACTACATATGTCGTTTTCACAGAATGCAGTGACTTCTCCCCACCTGTAACTGTGATCCTGATGATCTTCTTGTGCCTTGAGGGTTTTCTGTTTCTCACTTTCACTGCAGTTATGTTTGGCACCCAAATCCACTCAATATGCAATGACGAAACGGTAAAGACCTCTACTTTTGCATGCTTTAACAATTATTCGAGGAAGATGTGATTAGATAGTGTCTTATTTGCATGAGGGGAGGCTCTTATTTTGGAGAAAAGCTCAAATCTGAAATAGCTCATTTTTATTTTCTACAGATGTAAGTATGGAAATACTTTCTTGGGGATCACTTTCTACCAGAAGTTCTTGCATTGTTTGCTTTTCTGGCATAAATATTATAATTAGGTTTTCAATTACAAAGATTGCACACCTTCTGACTTTAGTTTGGACTTGCACTTCTCAGCTGTCACAAACTGCTGATATGTGCCATGAGAAATGACTGCTTTTCTCAGGTTTACACTTGAACTAGCTATCTTGTATCAACCCTTCACAATTTGCTCTATTTTGATATACTTTATTAAACTATAACCATAGGTTGGACATTTGGCCTCCTTGCCCTTAGATCTTGAGAGGATGTTTTGTGACAGATAATTGACTGGAAACATAAGGAATTTAAATCTTGTGGCTGTTCAGAATTTTCTCATATGAGGCTGTTTAGAAGCGTACTTCTGTACTGAAGAGTAACTGTGAAAAACAATTGGTAAATATCCAGCCTTCATTAGTGGGAAGTACTAAAAATGATCATCAAAATAAAGCATTTGGGAGAGCAAGCCTAGCTCCAGTAATTGCAGTGCAAGAGCCTTCTTGGAAGCCTTATTGCCAGGTTTCATTAAATGAGTAAACAACTTCTAGCATAGGTATATATGTTGCATGGGGATCCTCTACTTTAACATCAGCTTTCCTGGTCATTTTGTCTTTTAGTTTGGGGACGGGGTGAGGGGGAGAGAGAGAGGTACCAGCCTTCTGGTACACACTGTATGTTCTAAGTCTTCTGCCCTGTACCCACAGGGCTAAATCAGCCATTCTTAATTATTCCTTACTAAATAAATAATAGCAAGAAACTAATCAGCTCACTAGGTATATATTAAAAGAATGCAAAATAGTCATCAGTTTTGATAACTGCCGTTAGACTTTAGTAATCTTTGGACTTAACAGCACTGCCTGTCTGTTCATACACAGGAGATTGAAAGACTGAAGAGTGAAAAGCCAACGTGGGAGCGGAGACTGCGTTGGGAAGGAATGAAATCTGTCTTTGGGGGTCAGCCTTCCCTCCTGTGGATCAATCCTTTTGCAGGATTTCGAATCAGGCGACTTCTACTCAGAGCAAAGAAAGGAGGACCCGAGTTTTCTGTTTGAGTCTAATTATGCTGGAACTTGCAAGAATACTATATAATATTTATTTGGGGCCAGAAAAGGCTGTCAACATATAATCTGTGACCAGGTGAAACTGATATCAGACATTTGCTTGTAGCAAGCAGAGTTTTATACGTTTATCGTCACAGACATCTCATTAACTTTCAGAGACGTGAACTGGATCTGTAATGGTCTTAACGGCAAGATAACGAAGGAAAAGCACGTGGTCACACTAAAGAAGCCAAATGTTGTCATGCTACTGTAATTTATTTTCTGAGATTAATTATCCATTTTTGTTAAACCCTTTTTATTTGATAAATGTTTGGGGAATTACCTGTGTGTTTTTATAAAAAGTATATACTTTAGGTGCAGTTGTCAATCATGAGGAGGAGCATTATGGTGGAAGTTGATCTCGAATGAGACCTAGCCTTCTAAATCCAGTTTTCAGGGAATAGTGGTTTGTTCAGTTTTTAATTTATATTTCAGCTTGTCCTGATAAGCAGAGCTGTACTCTTGTGTCCCACTTCAGGCACACATTCCTCATATGCAAGCGATTCAAAGGACTGGTGCACGCCACAGCGTAACACATCAGAGGCACTGTTACACCCCTGCCAAATGTCTTCCCAGGCTCACAAAAGCATGTCTTGTCTTTGGCGGTATTAATCTCATTTAGGTAAGTTCTAAATCTTCAGTAAAAGACACTTTTAACCAACGGCTGTGGGCTGAATTGTGCCCTCAGGTCATGCATCTCCAGTTCTTCATGCATTGATTCTAGAGGAACTTCAGAGTAGGTGTGTGAGGGCTGTGTCTAGTCCTCTGTGCAGGGGTAGGTGGGACCAGTGACTGTATCCTCCTGTGTGAGATTAAAATGAATGTACTACAGATTGGAGTAAATGAACTGAAAACGGTTGTCTTTGTAAGGTTTTTCACTACCCCTTTTTCTGTTGTACAGACTTTTCATAGAAGGAAATCTGTGAACTTAATGCTACAGATTGGAGTAAATGAACTGAAAACGGTTGTCTTCGTAAGGTTTTGCGCTGCCCCTTTTTCTGTTGTACAGACTTTTCATAGAAGGAAATCTGTGAACTTAATGATCCCTTGAACAAAGGCATCAGAGGAATGAGGGAGGTTGCCTCTTTCTCAAGTGTAACAGATCATAAATGTAGAAAGATCTGCAATAGAAGGGATTATTTTGAATTTAACCATTTTCCAACCAAAACTGCTTCCAAGAAATGAGAGCAATAGAGTTCTAGAACTGCTTTATGTGGGCCTGACAAACAACAGTAGTGCTAAGAAATGTTTATAAATCTGCAAGTAATGAAATACAAGCTGCAAGTAATGAAATTCATCTAAAAGTGGATTCTTTAAAAATTCCATTTAAACTATTTTTTGTATTATTGTTAATCTGTTCTAACTGACAATATAAAGGATAAAGCAGGAGCCTTGATGCATAGCTCGAAATCGTGCCTAGAAAGTAAATAGCTCCCTGTTCTGGGACTTGCCTTAAAATTGTCCTGTTTGTGCTTTTGCTTTGCCAGTAGCACTGATCTGTCCCACCTCAAGCAGTTCAACGCGCTGAAGAATCTTGCGTTATAAAGTTTACGTACTACAGGAGTTAGACTTTCTTTTTTTCAGTGACCACCTTCTCCTTTTTCTTTGTAACTGTTTGTGGCATCTTGATTCCAGCTTCATCAGGTTTTATACCACGAGGTGGGTGAAATTACTAAGGGATCCATCTATTATTTATGGCCCTGCGAACAAAACTGTGCAATACAATGTGGTATGTTCCCTTTGCTTGGGAGAGATGGTGTGTAGCACTGGACAATTTCTGGGTGGACACTTTTAATGAAATTGCAGGCAAATGAACAAAACTACGTCTCGTGTAACTGAGGGGAAAGTTGGAAGTTCCACAAGAATCTTTGCATATTGCGTTGCACATCTTAAAGATTGGGAAAAAACGTGTCTGGCTTTGTCATGAGGCTCTTAATGTGTATATTGTTTCATAAAATATCCTGATGAAAATCAGAAAATATCACTTCAAGCGGTTGAACCCTGTGACTTAGCAAGTGTGTGCGTGTGTGAAATCAGGTTTACTTGGCTTTTCAAACCCTTGTTCTGTTGTAATTTTTTTAATGTAAAAAAAATAAAGTAATGAATTGAAGTCTTAGTTGATTAACTTCTGCTCTGTATGTCACTTATTTTGCACATGTGGGTGCATATTCACATATATTTAGGTAACAGCAACTTCAGGGTAATGGTCTTATGGTCTTGCATCCTTTGGCTTGTGATTTCTATGTACACGTGTATCAAGTAACGGCTGATGCTGCTCCAAATTAAAGATGCTACTGTGCTTATTCAGGGGTTTAAGCTATGCTAACTGCTAGTTTCTCTGTGCAAGTGTTGATTATTTTTTTTCCCCCCACTAATTCTGTAGTTTCAGATAAAGAGACAGCCAATTATGCAGCCTAGAAAGCAGCAGTTCAGAAAACAGCTGACCCAAGGAGGGTGAGGGCAGGGAGGAAACAGGGTTTACAAAGGCACTAAAGGATGGAGAGACTGGAAGCAGTTTATTTGCCATTTGCAACAATTCTAAAAAGTACTTTGGTACCTTTCCTGGGTATAATAGCACTTTAGTTTCTGTGGACAAAATAACTCCAAATACATTCATATAAACTTCGTGCCACTGCTTGTATGTTTAAGCAGGTTAATGATTTGATTATATTTGCCACAACAGTTAAGCTGTGCTGTGTTTGCATATATTTGAAGGAAGAGCTTGTTTACTCTCCAGGTGGAACGGAGGTCTCAGCTGGTAGATCCTGTTAATTTATCTTATTTTCATTTTCTTGTTTAATTTCTAGTAGTAATGTCAGGTTGTTTCATGAACCCTTTCTGAAGTCTTAAGATGGCAGCACTGACAAGTGAGAATTGATTTATGGACTTCTCTGTGCCTGTCCTGTGCAGAAATGTTGTGTTTCTGTGATTGTTCTCACTACTTTCTATTGGCACTGTGTTCATATGTGAATGTATTCAATGCTATTAGAGAAAGAAAAGTGGTGTAAGAAGTTTTGAAATACAGAAATTGGACTGTAAAATGATTCTTGAATCTGCTAATAACGCTAAGTTACACCAGCATCACAGTTCTGTATATTTTTTAAGTTTTATTCCTCTGAACAGAGTAACAGTTTAATTCATACCACGTACTTTGTGGCACATGGTACTTTGTGGTTGAATATGGGTCGGTGCTTCTTGATTGATTGTTAGATTTTTTTTTATTTTTTTTTTGCTTGTGTCACTCATTCTTTTGTGTGTGTTCTGAATTTCTTCATGGAGAAATACTGTAATTTGGTTTTTGCAGTATTTCCGGATTCTATTGCAGTAGCATTTTTGCTGCTGTAGGTGCACATTCCTCCTGTCATACCCAAAGAGAGCTCTGGAAAATAGCCACATGCAATGTTAATAAAGCCAGATGTTATAATTGGCAAGGAAATGGGTAATTTACAGAGAAATAGGTAAGACTTTACTACATGAGATGCACAATTGGTGGTGTTCTGAGAAAACAGCTGGCATCTTGCCAGACAACTGAAATATTTTTAAATAATGGCTTTGAACACCTTTTTGTTAACAAAATCATGATTCCAATTAAGCAGAAATCTAACAAAGTAGTGATTTCCAAGCTATGTTTGCATAAGAATATTGGTTTAATTCAGAGTGGGGTTTGACGTGGGGAAGCCAGAAAGAGATTTTTGCTCTGTGTCTGTTCTGGCCCTTAATACAGGCCCCTTGTCAGACGGTGAATTATTCTTGCTGTAAAGCTCCTCCAGACTAGCTGAACACTGGAGGCTGATGTCTGCTTGTTCCTGGACAATTTTATTTCCTTCTATCAGATAACAGCTTAGGTTTTTCACTTGAGACTGCTGTAATTAACAGTGGGCTTTGCAGCCGTAGATGCTTCTTTTTTATAAAAAATAAATCCCCAAGGTGAAAATCCCTAAGGTGTTTGCACTGGGGAAATCAATAGAGAAACTTGAAAACTTGGTTTTGAATTAAAGAAAAAAGGCAAACTGTCTGTACAAACTGTGAGAATATTACATTTATTTCCCCAATAGATTTATTTTCTTACCATTAATGGGTATAAATGTACACTTAATTTCTAGAAAAGTAAAGTAATCTACACGATGGAGGAACTGGAAGCAATGTTGGGTAAGTACAGTTTTGTCTGTCGTGCGGCAGGGATGCTTGCAGTGGAACCTGGTTTCCAGATATAACTTTAATTTGAAACAGCTATCAGCATATAGTGTCGGATCAAATTCATCAGAGACAGTAGGAAAATAGAACATTATGATCCCAGGTGAAATTCTACCCGGTCTTCAGTGGTTTTCAGGTGGCTCTTGTGCTGCAGAATGGCAATGCTAAAGTGTCTCCCCAGCGAGTGAAAGGCAGCCTGAGCACAGAGTGTTCCCCTTTTGGTGAAGGTTCAGATGCTCTTCCCAACTTCTCCTGCAGTCAATGAGGTTGCATTTCCACAGTGTCCTTCACCCGAGGACCTCGCAGTCCTTCAAGAGTGAAATAAGCCTCACAAAGCCACAGCTGGGCCCTGTCATCTTGGTTTTGCCAGAAATGGGGATGCAGGAGGGTTGAGAGATTGGTGTGATGTGTCCCAATTGGAATTCTCCGATGTGTCCCACTGCTCAGTACGGCCACCCAGAACCCTTCAAGAGCTGTCTGATGGAGGTCATTGGGCTTCTGTGCAGGTGAGTGTAAGTTTTGTAGAAATCCAGTGGTCTGCTTTCTAATGAGGTTCAATTTATGTAAAATAAACACCGTACCACTAGGAAAGTTTGAGGTTGTATAGTCATCTAAGGGGGAATCGTTTTAAATAGTTGTAATAGTTAATGTAATGGTTAATAGCTGGTCACCTACTGCTGATTAAGCTCTACATAAAGTGCAGAAGCACCTTATGTTTTAAACATTTTTTTTTAAAATCCATTCCTCACAGGAGACCTGCCTCTTCCTTCTTTTTTCTTCTTTTTTTTTTTTTTACTAAGTCAGAGCTTTCAAATTCAGGTTACAGACATTACAAAGATGCACAAAACTACTGCAAAATCATATCTGTGTACTGGGAAAAGGTTTTCTTTGGCATTTTTGTTAGGACTGTTGCTTCTTGCAAATATGTTTGTGGTAAAAGTTTGCAGAAGGTACAAAGCAGCATCTGGGTGGGTCAACAGCTTCTCCAGCTTCCTGCCTGTGGAGGGTTTGACCGGACCCGGTGGCCACGGTCTGATGCAGAGATCTTTGCTGATGTCTGGGAGCTACGTTGGATGTGCACACCAAGTAAGAAGATGCATCAAACAACTCACAATTGGACTCCAGATAAACTGGAAATGGTGGAAAATAACCAAATGTTGGCATTCCTGATCACAAATAATTACTGACCAACATTAAATGTTGGCTGGTCTGTGCGGAACAAAATGCATCTTTAGGGAAGGAGAAAGCTTTGGGCTGCTAAGTGTTATTAAGATATTCTTCCTAAAGCTTAACGTGCAGCAGGAGAACTGGGAGTGTAATTAAATTTTTAATGGGAATAGACCGTTTCATACTGACAATTCAAGACACGCTGTGCTCATTAACAGTTACCATCAGCGGTGCAAGGCACTGGGTTTTATGAAGATGGCGGCCGAAGGCTTTGAAAGGGTGGTCATCACACCGAGGTAGGTGGTAACGAATGCCATCAGAAGCCCTGCTCCAAGGAGCTTACAGTCTTGGTCCTGCTGAAAAGAGCATCAGCCCCAATCACGTGTGAGGTGGAAGACCTGAGGTGATGCTCCTGCTGTAGTCTGGTACCTGCTGCTCGACTCACGGCCTGGAAAGAGTGTGACCGACGGATCCGGCTACGGGCAGGGGGTGGCCGTGCTTTGCCTCTGCAAAGAGAAAGGGGCCCATTTCACTTTTTCAGCACGGTTTCCACATTGCTCCCAGCTTCTCCTTCCACCTCTCCCTATAAAATCTCCTGCTTGGGTATCACTGTCTGAGGCAAGAGCTGTGCTATGGCGTTGGGCCCTGCACTAGAGCCTAGTTTATAGTCTTCACTGCCTGTACTTGTAGAAGGAGATGGAAGGGATGTTTCAGGAGATGCTGTAGGAGAGAAAAGAAACAGGATTAACATGGACCTGGGTGCTGTTCAAGAGAGCAGTGCCCAAATAAAAGCAGCAAACCCAGGAGCTTGGGGCAAGGGGGGATCCATCCCAAATTCAGGCATGTTCAGGCATATTCTTCCTTCCTGGTCTGTGACGAGGCACAGGGTGGACTGATGGGCACAGATCAACTCCTCTCTGTGTTGTGCACTTGGGAAATGCCCCAAACTGCTTTTTAATCCTTCCTGTCCTCTTTGGAGGAGGGCTCAACCTGCTGGCCACTCTACCTCATTTACAGAGCACAGCATCTCTCTAATCCCCCTTACTGCAAGGTGACTTAAAAAAAAAACAAAACCAAAACCAAGCTAAAATACATGATGCCAACATTTATATGGCTGAGAAATAGCAAAATATGCTGCAAGAGGTAGATGATCTTAACTGGCAGGAGGTGACTGTGTGTGCAAGACATTGTGATTACATGGCAGCGGTTGTTAAATTGCAACTCATGTTCTACTTTACTTTTTTTATTTAATACCATGGTCCGGTTGCTACTCCAGTGGATAAATGCCTTAGCAAATAGCCCTTGCCGAGCAGCAGCGTCCAGAGTGGTTGAAGGCAGTCTTGTATTCAAGTCATATTGTGTTCTGGTTGACAGCAACCAAAACACTTTACATAGGGAAACTCTTGCCTCTAATAACTGTGTGTTTCATTGTGGTATTCCCTAGCACTGCCTACGTTCATAGAAATACACTGTCACCAATCTTGATTTCTGTTTTTTAATCTTGTGCTGTTAATTAGCATCTAAAAATCCCCCTGGATCTTGCTATTATGTGAAAATCTCAGCTTCTCTTTTGGAAGCATTTTTCCAGACTTCATAGTTAAGAATTCAGCAAGGAGGGGTGTGAATGATTTCTGTTTTTTAATCTTGTGCTGTTAAGTAGCATCTCAAAATCCCCCTGGATCATGCTATTACGTGAAAAATCTCAGCTTCTCTTTTGGAAGCATGTTTTCAGACTTGGTAGTTAAGAATTCAGCAAGGGGGGGGCTGTGATCTCTGATTCAAGTGTAATGCTTAAATACATCAATAAACCTAACGGTCTATTTTCTTAACTGCTTCTCCACTTCAGTCCCTTCATTCTGCTGACACTAATAGCGTAAAAATGGACACTTACGGTTTGGAGCGGTGTGAATCACAGAGCTCATGTTGCTTGGGAGGACGTGTCCTGGCATCGTTTCCAGGTTGAGGTTGGGAGGTCCCGACTGGTACTGGAGATCGACGGTGGTTCCTGCAGTGGAAGTGGGAAAACACATCATTCTTTGCATAGTTACCGAAAAGCCAGATGCTCTGGGCCAAGTCTCTTCAGAGAATGTGGGAGACCTCTGTGGGTGAGGGTTAATGTCCTGGCTCATCTTTACTTCCTTCCTGCTCTGCTGTCCTCTTTGCTCTCAGCCTTCTCACTGTCTAGGGACAACCTCCCAGGATGGCTGAGGTTTCAGCTAATATCCAGCTGTGCTGCTTGTCTGTCTCTGTGTCTCAATTACTGCTCTTATCAGGGTTTCCCATATAATTATAACTTCTGCATATTGCTAACAAAAAAATAGGTTGTCTTCTTGTGAACTACATCAGCTCGGTAGGTTGCCTAAAATTCGACTGCCCCACTGGTATGAAGCACCACAGAGTGTACTCATTTCCTTAAAATTGTCCCTGGGTCAGATTTTCTGAGATAGATAGGCTGGAAAGAAATGTCTTGGGGATTGGACTGAAGTGAGAAGAATCCACGTTCAAGCTGCTATTCAACCTGAACCTTCATGTCCCTCCTCCCAAGACAGTTTCTCTCTACCCTACATCCTCCGGAGAAGGACTCAAACCCAGACATGAAGCTCCACAATGGCTTTGAAATAAAATAACTTTGGTTTCCTTTCTTAGCAGGGTTCGTACCTCCCAGTAGCATCTCCTGCAGCAAGCTGTCGATCCTGGCCACACCAAAGAGCTTCACGAACTGGACTTGCTCTATCATCTGCCAGGTGATGCTCTGCAGCGGGGGCAGCAGGAGGAGGATGTCACTGAACCGGCCTCGGGAGTCGTACTGGCGGTCATTGATGTAGTCCTCCAAGTTGACCTGGACCTGGAAGCGCATGTTCTTCACCTTTCCAGGCTCGCTCAGGCCTTTGCAGTCTGGGAGGAGAAAAAAATGAGGTTAATTCCTGGTCTGTGTAACCAGAAAGTGTTATCCTGTTGGTCAGGCTCTGAAGGGGAAAAAGACGAGGTTATCAGTGATCCTCTGACAAGTATCTCTCAGAGTCTCCAAGTTTTTGTGACAGACTAGTGTTAGGCTGCCACTATTTCATATCTCATATGGAGTAGGGAAACAGTAAGGGGAATTTGAGGGGAAACAGTAGGAAAATAAGAGCTTGCATCAGCTGGATATGTCTGGCTACTGCCATTGGTGAAGAGGGAGCGTTTAGAAGTTGAACTGTATTTGTCTTTCCAAGGAAATGGCCTGGAATTTCACCCTGAAAATAAATGAGTCCCAACTACTGCCAATAAATCCATGCAGGATTGGTGCCTATCTGTTGCAAATGCACCCACTGCAGCATCAGCTCCTTGTCTTGATTTCCTGTCTTTGACCTGTGGTCGATCTCTTTTTCACAGACCACTGGTCCAGTTTTGTTTAATCATCAGGTAAACGTGCACTCTGGTGGGATTTACAGCTTTCCACTCCTGCCTCTCCTGCTAGCTAAAACTGAGATTTCTGGCTCACTGGACCATTTCTTTCACTGTCTATGAAGAATCCACAAGTACCTCATTTTAGACCATCATGCCAAGAGATTAGACAAAGTGGTTAACAAATTATTGTGCGTTAGCGTGTAACTCCACGGACATGCCTACTTGTTAGCATGAATGAACTTCACTTCTGTAGAAGCTTCACACTTTTTCATTTTAGATGAAATCACAGCGCCTCACTGTCACAATGATCTGAAGCTCCACTGAGGTACTGATCAGCTGAGAAGGTAATTTGTCAAACTCAATTGAATAACGTGATCTTTATTCACTTTTGCAGCAGGCTCTTAGGCAAGCTGAAGTTCATGATGTTTGCAAAGCTCCTGTATCTTGATTTCAAATCAGTGGACACAGCAAGAAATAACTAATGGAAGGTGCTTTAATTTCTCTGTGCTAATAGATGCCAAAGGCAAAAGGGCATTATTCTGGACTTGGGATTGTTCCCCCATCTTTTCTCCAAGCTACAAGGCAATGCACACTAAAGGGACCCCTTACCAAGGGGTGGTTGTGTGTGCACTGCAGGCATGTAGAAATAGGAGTGTTTGGGGGGGGAACCTGGGCTGAGACAGAAACCCCTGTGTTTGTGGAATAAGAACAGAGCAAAGGTTCAAAACAACCTTTTGTTTGCCTCCTTGTTTGTTTCCCTGCTCTCCTCTCCGTCCTGTGCTGATCAGCCCTGCCCTCGGTCAGCACCGGCTGCTGGCAAGATCCATTAACAGACATCCTTGATATTTCTGGGTACTCTGAAGGGTCCAGCTCTCTGTGGTTTTTAATGCTGCTTTCTGAACTCTGATGGATGCTCCACACTGCTGCTCAGTTCACTCGCTTCACTTATGCATAATTCACTATAGGCATATATGTCCTTAATAGTCATCTCCTCCGTTACAGACTGATGGGCTTTCCTGAAGCCAAGTTACAGAAGCAGCAAAACTCCTCTAGGACCTGCAGGGTCCTGCACATGGGTCTGGCTGGGGTTAATACTTGCTAAACAGTGAAGTGTTCAGGAATATGTCCCTTCTAACAGGTCCTCGCTGCGCTGCTAAGTACTGCTCGTTACAGCAGAGGGAGGGGGAAATGTAGAGCTGCTGCCAAGGGGGTTTTCTTGGTGACTGGAGAGTCTTCAGCTCCTTTCCAAGCCCCACGCTTGGCAGTGAGGAAGGAAGCTTACCTGGATCAAAGAAGATGATGGCTTTAAGGCAAGCGTACTCGTTGTCATCGATCTGGATGTCCCGCAAGGGCTTCACCAACTCGTCCAAGATTCTGGTGGCCACACGAGCAATTTCCAGTTCTGGGCAGTGCATTGGGATGATGAAGTCATTCCCTGGGGAGACAAGAGAAATTCACCATCAGATTTTCACTCTAGCTCTGCGGACACTGTCTCATCCTGAAGTTACCCCACGGAAGTTACCCCAGACAGTCCCAGTGCCCACGTGCAGCAGAATTCCTGTGTGCAGCTTCATACTCAGATTCACGACCGAGAAGCGAGGCGTGGAACTCATTCTCTGGTCCTTAATTATCTCATTTGCATATGTCGGTGCACCCACACTGTACACAAAGCCTGCTCCACATTCTGCTCTGGTTTACCCTCTGTTACACGCAGCATCTGTTTGCAAGCGATGTTGCATCTTTTGGTGTGATTTTTTTTCTTTTAAACAAAGTTTTCATTCCCTCTGTTCTTTAATATGTGGCTTTCAAGGTCAGTATTCTAATTTTAATAGACCTTCCTGCTAATTTTTTAACCACTGATACCCAAATACCTCATGGCCTGTGTCCTGGCAATTTCAGTTACAAGCACAAGGCAACTCAGTTTGAGATGCCGTTTAAATATTGGGGATTTTCTCATCCACAATTTCAAAGCAGTAAGGGAAAGTTGTGAAAGTCCCAGTGAATTTCCCTGCTCTTTTTTTTACACCTCTCCAGAGACCTTCTCAAGCACTCAGTCTCAAGCCAGATGTGCAGAGCATGCCCAGGAGTGCAGAGAGGATTTCAGGCAGGCAGGATACTTGACAATAATTCAGGGGTGCAAATTATAAGTACAGGAGGGTATTTCACTACTTTACCTAATAACAGAAAATCGGTGTAGGGGATGGACCGCTTGGCTACCCCGAGGAGCAGGTGTTCCCCTGCGTGGGCTCTGAGCAAGGCAACCTGGGGATGGCAGAGAAAAAAGAAACAATATTACATTTGAAAAGCAGAGAACAGAATGATGAGCTGCTGCTGTTTAGATTAAGCCAAATTTGATGCTTGCTTCGATATGTCAGATCTACAGATAAAGTACTACTAAGAGCTAGAAGTTATTAGTATATCTTCACTTTTCAGAAGTGCTACTTTCACGGCAAGTTAAATTAAATGTTTGCAACTGAAAGAGCAAAGAGGGGCTTGAGTAGTTTGCGTTCTTAGGAAATAAATGGCTTTTATATTCAAATATCAGGTATCAACAAAGGGAAAACCAGTCCTTTTTGACTGGATCCTTGTGCATACTGAAGTGATCAATTTCATTATATTTCTGGGAATTTTGGCTGCTGGACTAATTTTAATGGATTCCATATCCTTTATTTTTTCTTTCTCTCCTGCTAGTTTATTGCTCTGCACGGGGTGATTTATATGTTAATATCAGGTTCTCCTGTTGAAAGGTATGGCTGGGAATTCCTCTCAGCGGGTTTTCAGGGAAGAGACATTTGTATTTTACCTGGTCGTCAAGTGGGAGATCACAAAATGCCGGGATGTATTTTGCCCATTCCACCAGCACCAGAAGCTGCTGTTTCATGGATTCGCACACGTCATTGATGGTTGCCACCTTCTTCATGGCGATGTCCGTGCTGTGCGCCGGACTCGGCGACGAATACTGAAAGAGAAGCAACCCAGTTGAGCTGGGACCAGACGTGTGCTGTTTTGTCCCCCTTGACAGCAACAATTCACTGAGAACATGGAGTTCCTTCACCCGTACAAACCTCCTTCAGGCTGCTGAGTTGTGGTTGCACACTTATTGGCTCAGCAGCGTATGGTATCCAACGTAAAGCCCATGGAAAAGTCATGGAAAAGTCTCCACGAGGTGGTGCTCGGTCCCAACAGACACCCCTCCCTCCTCCACCTCCTTCCCCACTTTCCAGACTGGCTCAGGACAAAATCTGATTAATTCCCCTTCCCAGCAGTAGCCAGCAGCACTGGGTCTCAGCCTCCCATCAGTCACTTAAGGCAGCCTAACGCATTAAATGCATTCAGCCTTTCTTCTCCAAGTAGTTGCCTGGGACACAAAACACCCATTTCCATCCCTAAAGAGCTGCGTGAGGGGAGAGGGTTAAAACATAATAATTTTTGAAAAGGAAGTGGACGCATTGCTGCATGTAATATGCAACATCTGGACCATATGTTTCAGTGGAGAAAGGCTATTTGCATAAGAATTTAAAGGACGCACAGAGGGAAATTCATGGTGGAACATGAAATAAGAAAGCGTATCAGCATTAGCTGAAACCCAGCAATTTCGTTAGCTTGCTTTTTCTCCCCTAAAATTGTTGCGCTGGTAAAGAAGTTACAAGAAAAGATGTAACTGACCATGATGGGAACATTATGTTCTGAGGAGGACAGAGTGTGCAGCAAGGAGGGACACATTTCTGCATGAAATGCAATGAGTTTTTAGGTGGGGCAGCAACAATTAGGCTGGGGACAGAGGGGGCCCAGGGTCTGCAACATCCCCCAGCCCTTGAAACTTCAGCTTTGCATCTCACATGCCAAAAGCTGCATCTGCTCCTTGCAGGACATGCTGTCTTGATAACGCACCAAGGGTTTTTACTGTCTGCTTTTGGATGTCTTTAATGCATTTTCTTCCCTGTGGCTTTGTGCAAGAGCCATCCAAGGGCAGAAAAAGATCCAGCCCCGGTTGCTTTAGTGAATTCATAACCCTGGGTGGAATAGCTGAAGGCCACGTACTGGTTTGGAGGGTTGTCCCTGCGTTTCATACCTGCTGGGCCATGGCCTCGGCCTGAGTGAGCACATGGATGGAGAGGGACCCGTTGTCCTCGTAGCTGCTCCTGCGGATGCTGATCCTGTCACGCTCATTCTGCACGGCTGAAATGACAGTGAACAGTGGTTGTGTTAGTCAGAAACTTCCCACACGACCCATGGCTGCTGTTATCTGCAGTCCCCAGACAGGAGTAGATGGGGCTTTAGCTCCTGCAGCAGCCTCCAGCCTTACTGGATGCTGCAATAAGGTTAAACAGGTCCCTGGGGAGAGGAAAAGGCCACCAGAGAGGGAGAAGACTGAGCACAGGAGCAAAGGAGGGAGATAAGGCCATTTGGAAGGCAGAGCAACACCTGTGTGGTGTTGGCTGGTCCCACTGCGTTTGATGCAGCTCAGGGGGGAGTTTGGGCATTTGATGTCGACCCTTTTCACTTGTGCAGTTGGAGTCCTGGCCTCCAGTACCCTTTTTTGCCATGTCTACACTGAGGGCTCCCTCCTCAGTCTTGAGGTCACATCTCATCTCACACCAACACTGGAAAAACCATCCTCTGATCCCACCTCAGAGCAGCCTTAGAGTGTCCCCTGCCCCTGAGGCATCAAAGCTGGTGGTCCCCAGGGGACATCTTCACCTCTCATGGGGAGCAGGTGGAGTCGCATCATTAAGGAAGCTCCAAAAAAAGAAAGCAAACTTAAATTTGCTGATCCCACCTTAAAACCATTCCCTCAGCCCTGCCCATCACACAGCTGATTTCCATGAGCCTGTAACCCTGAGGGCAAAGCCTGCACACAGTGAAGGGAAGAAACCAAGCTGGGGTTTGTCTCCAGCTCTGCTGGCACCCTGGGCAAATCACTGCCGAAAATCAGTCCAGAGTGTCCTGTTTAATAACAGTGACACAAGGCACCTTGGACACACTACAGTGGCCACAGCAGAGTGAAGATCAGCCCTGGGCCACACCATGGTGAATTAGAATAAAAGTGTGCTGTTTTGTCCCCCTTGACAGCAACAATTCACTGAGAACATGGAGTTCCTTCACCCGTACAAACCTCCTTCAGGCTGCTGAGTTGTGGTTGCACACTTATTGGCTCAGCAGCGTATGGTATCCAACGTAAAGCCCATGGAAAAGTCATGGAAAAGTCTCCACGAGGTGGTGCTCGGTCCCAACAGACACCCCTCCCTCCTCCACCTCCTTCCCCACTTTCCAGACTGGCTCAGGACAAAATCTGATTAATTCCCCTTCCCAGCAGTAGCCAGCAGCACTGGGTCTCAGCCTCCCATCAGTCACTTAAGGCAGCCTAACGCATTAAATGCATTCAGCCTTTCTTCTCCAAGTAGTTGCCTGGGACACAAAACACCCATTTCCATCCCTAAAGAGCTGCGTGAGGGGAGAGGGTTAAAACATAATAATTTTTGAAAAGGAAGTGGACGCATTGCTGCATGTAATATGCAACATCTGGACCATATGTTTCAGTGGAGAAAGGCTATTTGCATAAGAATTTAAAGGACGCACAGAGGGAAATTCATGGTGGAACATGAAATAAGAAAGCGTATCAGCATTAGCTGAAACCCAGCAATTTCGTTAGCTTGCTTTTTCTCCCCTAAAATTGTAAGGACGCGCAGAGGGAAATTCATGGTGGAACATGAAATAGCGTTAGCTGAAACCCAGCAATATTATTAGCTTTCTTTTTCTCCCCTGAAATTGCTGCGCTGGTAAAGAAGTTACAAGAAAAGATATAACTGACCATGATGGGAACATTATGTTCTGAGGAGGACAGAGTGTGCAGCAAGGAGGGACACATTTCTGCATGAAATGCAATGAGTTTTTAGGTGGGGCAGCAACAGTTAGGCTGGGGACAGAGGGGGCCCAGGGTCTGCAACATCCCCCAGCCCTTGAAACTTCAGCTTTGCATCTCACATGCCAAAAGCTGCATCTGCTCCTTGCAGGACATGCTGTCTTGATAACGCACCAAGGGTTTTTACTGTCTGCTTTTGGATGTCTTTAATGCATTTTCTTCCCTGTGGCTTTGTGCAAGAGCCATCCAAGGGCAGAAAAAGATCCAGCCCCGGTTGCTTTAGTGAATTCATAACCCTGGGTGGAATAGCTGAAGGCCACGTACTCGTTTGGAGGGTTGTCCCTGCGTTTCATACCTGCTGGGCCATGGCCTCGGCCTGAGTGAGCACATGGATGGAGAGGGACCCGTTGTCCTCGTAGCTGCTCCTGCGGATGCTGATCCTGTCACGCTCATTCTGCACGGCTGAAATGACAGTGAACAGTGGTTGTGTTAGTCAGAAACTTCCCACACGACCCATGGCTGCTGTTATCTGCAGTCCCCAAACAGGAGTAGATGGGGCTTTAGCTCCTGCAGCAGCCCCAACCCTTGTTGGATGCTGCAATAAGGTTAAACAGGTCCCTGGGGAGAGGAAAAGGCCACCAGAGAGGGAGAAGACTGAGCACAGGAGCAAAGGAGGGAGATAAGGCCATTTGGAAGGCAGAGCAACACCTGTGTGGTGTTGGCTGGTCCCACTGCGTTTGATGCAGCTCAGGGGGGAGTTTGGGCATTTGATGTCGACCCTTTTCACTTGTCCCATTGGAGTCCTGGCCTCCAGTGCCCTTTTTTGCCATGTCTACACTGAGGGCTCCCTCCTCAGTCTTGAGGTCACATCTCATCTCACACCAACACTGGAAAAACCATCCTCTGATCCCACCTCAGAGCAGCCTTGGAGTGTCCCCTGCCCCTGAGGCATCAAAAGTGGTGGTCCCCAGGGGATATCTTCACCTCTCATGGGGAGCAGGTGGAGTCGCATCATTAAGGAAGCTCCAAAAAAAGAAAGCAAACTTAAATTTGCTGATCCCACCTTAAAACCATTCCCTCAGCCCTGCCCATCACACAGCTGATTTCCATGAGCCTGAACTTAAATTTGCTAATCCCACCTTAAAACCGTTCCCTCAGCCCTGCCCATCACACAGCTGATTTCCATGAGCCTGTAACCCTGAGGGCAAAGCCTGCACACAGCGAAGGGAAGAAACCCACCTCTCATGGGGAGCAGGTGGAGTCGCATCATTAAGGAAGCTCCAAAAAAAGAAAGCAAACTTAAATTTGCTGATCCCACCTTAAAACCATTCCCTCAGCCCTGCCCATCACACAGCTGATTTCCATGAGCCTGTAACCCTGAGGGCAAAGCCTGCACACAGTGAAGGGAAGAAACCAAGCTGGGGTTTGTCTCCAGCTCTGCTGGCACCCTGGGCAAATCACTGCCGAAAATCAGTCCAGAGTGTCCTGTTTAATAACAGTGACACAAGGCACCTTGGACACACTACAGTGGCCACAGCAGAGTGAAGATCAGCCCTGGGCTTTTTGCAAACAGAAAGGTATGGCCATGCCATGGTGAATTGAAAAAAAACCACTGATTTTCTGAGGCCCGTTCCACCCTTTAAACCATCCTTTTCCCTGAAGCACAAGCCACATCTAACCCCACGCTCCACCAACCCTGCGTGTTGAACATAAGGGATTTCTTGCACTTCAGCAGCTTATTTTTGCAACGCGGGCTCCAAGCACTGACTCGCCTCCGCTGCAGCCATCAAGTAAAACAGCAGCAGAGAAAAAAAGCAGAATTTCGACTGAGTCCAACCCCGTTTTCAGCGTTACTTTCTCCCCCGAGCCCCATTGCCTCCGTCCAGCAGCAAAGAAGCCCACACGGGGCTGGAGGATGGAGCCTGAACACAGACTCAGCGTTTTCCTGACAGCTCGTGCATCTTGGCTCCGTACAGCAGCTCAGAAAGGCCCTTGTCAGGTCCTTAAAGCAGAGGGAGCGGGAAGATTTAGCATGTGGTGATAACACAGCACATCCCTCCTCCTTCGTACAGCAATTCCATGCTCCTTTTGGTTTTATTTAGGGGGAATGACTCAGGCAGAGCTGTCAAAGCACGACTCACTCCGTGCGTTAACCCCTTGGATGGGAAACAGTGCGGTTTCGTCTCAAAAGTGGCCACTGGAGAAGAATTTTCCAGCGAATACTTTTTTGCAAAGTAAGCAAAATAATTTCACCACCTTTTTTTTTTTCTTTTTTTTGAGACTTCACCTCGATGCTGAGCCTTTCTTTAGAGGAAGACTCTTCCCACAGGGCATGTTTCTCTGAGTTCCTGCAAAGGAGGAGACGTGGGCACCGTTTTGCACCCAGGGTGGGAAGGGTTGGGGGCTTTTTTGGTCAGCTGGGGTCCAACCACTGCTCCGTTTTCTGAACCGGACTCTGATGAGAGGCCAACAAAGTGAAAGGGCAGAAAACAAGCAGCAGTGACAAAAATCAATATCTGCCATTATCGGCAGGAGCACAGTATTTATTTTCCAGGCCTTGGGGCTCAGCCTTGCTGTCAGTTGGGACCCGCTTGCGGCTGAGCCGGGTGTGCTTGGGGGGTGATGCCACCAAAGGGGTTCTGCACCTCAGAGCCCACCTTGCCTGAACAGCTGCAAGGGGCTGGATGGGTCAATCGATTTGTAAAAGATGCAACACACTTAGATATTACTGGAACCTTTTCAGGCTACGGATACTACACAGAGGCAATTAGACATCAATTTAGAGAAAAAGCAACTACAGTCCTTGGGAGGCTCTGCTAACTGACCTTAGACAGCAGCAGACATTACCCTGTGCCTGGCAGGGGGTGATGGAAAAGGCTGTTCAGCCGGGGATTCCCACCAGTCTGAAGGCAAAGGTGGTTATAGGAACCATAATCTAAGATTTATCTTCAGAACAGATTAACCCTTCACAACAGAAAGATGAGCAGCAGCATCCAGCACTGAGTAGAAACAAGCCCGCCTGACTCCATGTCATCACTGACATCCTTGGAAAGTCCCCACCCATCACTCTACACCTTGTCTCATATCAGATGCTCCCCTACATAGATCTCTGGGGGTGATGGGGCTCTTTTTCCTCACTTACAAGAAGAGGTACAAATTTTGCCTTTCCAACTGAATTACACATCTTATTTTACAGAAGTCCTACAAAGCCAGGCAGACCTGGTCCCAGTCCCTGATGACAGACTCCTTTAAGAAGCTTCAACCTGTTTTTCTCTCGGGTCTTTTTATGGCACATATTTCAGTGCTTCCCTCATGCTCTGATAAGCTCAATCTCCAAGTGTAAGTGGATGGCACAGACCGACTTTCTCAAGGTGATTTGGGTGTTATCACTGAAAGTACCCAAGATGCGAAGGAATTAGATAGAGAAGGGAGTTAATGTTTTACCTGCCACAAAATTAATCTATTACTGTGTGGTAATTATATTGCTATATTTATTGTGCTTGTAAAAGGGAAGGGACAGGTCACTTGTGGTGAGGCATCGGGAGGGCTCGAGGGGTACGCTGGCACTGAGGGTGCTCAGGGTCAGGTGTGACCATGGCTCTGTGGCCAATAAAACTCAGCAAACTTGCAAGGAAGGTCTAAAATCCCAGTTCTGGATCCCACTGTCTCCCAGGCACTACTATTTCCAGTATATGCCTGGCAAAAGCTTTTGCTTGCCCATTTTTTTTTTCTCTAATCCTGTCCTCTGCACAGTGCTCCGGTTCCCAAAGCCAGTAATACTGGGAAGGGCCTCTGCAGCCCCACAGGAGGGGACATCAGTGGGGACCAAGTCCCCATGACGCTGCCAGCCAGGGACAGCATGGCCCCAACTCGGACTTTTCCTTGGGGAAAACAGAGAGAGGGCAGGATGGTGCCTGCATCTCCCTCTGGGGAATTGTCCACAGCTACAGCATGTCCTGACTGTGGGAAAGGGATGGGAAAACAAACATATTGTCCATCGTGACGCAGAGGAGCCATCGGAGGGGTTTTGTTGCCCTTTTGCCATGAGCACATGCAGGATGCGGGCGGCCGGGCGGGCTGCGGAGCACGTGCGGCAGCTCTTGAGCAAACAGCGGCGTGTTTGTGAGATTGCAACAAACCCCAGTTTCCCAAACACTTTGTCCTTGCTGCTTTGCCACACAGGCACGGGGGCATGTGACGAGGACCCTCCGGGGGAGTCCAGTAAATACGGCCACGGGCACTGGTTGGAAGGGGATAACAGCAAACCAGTAACTTTCCACGGTAACTGCAGAGGTTAAAACCCTGCCTACATGGGAGCTGCTGTTTCCATTATTATCCCACTAAAACCATCCTTCCTTCATGCCGATGGGGCTGGAAATGTATTAATAAATGGCATAAAGAGAGAGCAGGAGGAGGGAGGTGCGAGTGCCCCAGCGCGGTGCTGGCAGTCACTGGGGTTCACAATGTTCTGCCTCCACCCATGAATTCACCCCTTCTGCTGCCTGGTTAACTTGTATGCACAAATAACATTTTTCCCCAAGCTACTTCTGATTTTGTAGGTGTGGTATATTTTACTCGCAAATAAATCCCACTGGTACATGCACATTTAATCCTTTCATGGGCTTTTGGCCTGATTTACAGCTGTCACACAGTAGGGAAGATCCTTTAACTTTTCCATCCACCTTTGCAATAAATTTCAGTCCCAGCCTTCTAAAAGCTGGCAGAAGAGATGTGCAAACAAAAGGTATGAAACAAGATAGAGGTCCTGTGAAACACTAATAAAACTGTCCTATAAACCTGTCCAATTTCACAAAAATAAATAAAAAATAACCTCAAATCTTCTCATGGTGTTGTGGCCGTAAGTGATACAATAATTCTTTTTATATCTGCGTAAAACTAAAGGAGTTCATGTACATTCATAAATTACTTTAAAGGAGATGAGAGGTTAAATATTAACCCTTCTTTTTTTCACCAGCAAACTGAATCCTGACAGTGCAGTGCTGGGATTTCAAAAGGCTTCCAGGTTTTTAGACACTCAACTCCATGTGAGTAGATGACCTGGCTCACTTGAAAAATCACACCCTGCTAATTTATTCAAGGTTAAAGATGAGCTCAGTGAGATGCTAAATATAGTATCCTGCTGTTTTCTTTGGGTGTTAAAGTATCTGGTGAACTCCTCACCTCCTGATGCTGTAGTGACCAAAAACCTGTCTGGTAGCACCATGCAAAACAATAGAAATCAAACCTTCCTCTATGCAAAGAGAGAAAATCAGAAAGAATAGCTAGAAAATCCCCCAAATACCCAGACCGCCATGCGGTACAGCCTCAGTCTTAACCACAGCACAAGAATAAAGGAGTGAATATTAAATCCTGATCAAAGTGGCATTTCAGGACACAAGAAGAGATTTGCATCCAAGTGTTCATCTCCCTCCCAGCCCAACTTTAACGATTGTTTACTTGTAGTTATTAAAGTGAATTATTGATACCGAAAATGTAAGTTGGATAGGAGTGTTTCTGAATGAGCTAACTTCTGGGAAATCTGGGGACTGGACTTCTCACAAGACTCAAGTTTTGGCCCTTTCTTGCTCTCGCTGGCGCTGATGGAATCTGGATCCCATTTCAGCTTCCAGGACCAACCCGTGCTGAGACCCTCAGCCCTGCACCTACACTGCTGCCCCTATAGACAACCACTTTAACGCTAGCTCAGGTACTTGCATCAGCTGGCTTTTTCTTTAGGCAGAAATTTCCCTTTTACCAGGCTAGATAACGTAGCTCCTCGCAATTTCTTATCCACTACAATTGCTTCCAAAATGGAAAAAAAAACAAGAGAAAAAGAAGGATCCAAATGTGTCACATCATGTCTTACAGCACGGGAAGACTGGAGAAAAAAAAAAATCATTCTGTATCCAAAATTCCAGTTTATCAGTTAGCTTTGCTGGGGAACAGCAAGTTTTCCGATATTGCACACAGACTCATCAAGCAGTGGGTCAGTGGGGCACCAGCAGTGGGGAGCAGGCGAGGGTGACACATCCCTGCTAACCCCACCCCAGGTGTATTGTCCCAAACAGGCTGGGAAAAGAATCGTTTCCAGCTTCTTCCCCTCTACGGTGAATAAACAATGCTATTACCCCACCCTGGAAACTCTGATTGCTATTATATGGGCTGGCTGAAAAGTGGTGCGGCCAGAAACAGAGAGTGACGAACTCTTGCATGCCAGTGCTGGGACAACAGGACACACTGGGCTGTGGAGCTGTGGTGTCCCAACACGAACTGGTGCATGCCACCAACAACAAATAACACACAAACATTTGTATCATCCCCCTACTGCTCTATCCCGAGACATGGCTTCTCTTTTTCCCTAACGCTTCGCAATACTGTTTAATATTAATCTAGAACCACCCTAAAGCAAATAACTGTGTTCTTTTTGTGCACACAATTGTGCAAGAAAATTTCTTTCACAGTCCTGCTCATATGCTTTGGATCCAGGTCCGGTCAGCTAAGCTAATTTCTGCAAAGCTGTTGCTCAAGGTGCTTTAAAAATCTTCCTTACCAAACACATGAGCAGTTTGTGAGCACACAACCTGACTGCGCACTCATAAAATAGTTTCAAAGAATGTGACTATGTGGAACTTGCAATGAGTCATCTTCCATCAAGCTGCAATCAATAATGAAGTCATGAGCCAAGGTTTTATAACTTTTACCATAAAACCAATAAAAATCATGCTTCAGCTCAAAGAATGGAGCTGATAACCAGATTTCAACCTTCCCAAGCTCTGGAGTTTCCTGCCTCGGCAATTGGCTCCATCCCCATCTATAACTGACCAGATATACTTCTGTTTGGTCTTTATGACTTTGAGGGCCACTTTTTTTTCCGTCTGCTAGATTTACTTCATTTGTCCTAAATTAAACCAGCAGGCATTTTGGCTACATCCATGACCTATGCCAAATTGCAAGACACCCTTGTTGTCCAGTAAGACATGTGGTCAGAAGGTTGGAAAGATTTTTTTTCATCACCGGTGAAATCTTATGAATTACCAGAAATCAGTGACAAATTTCCCCTTGGTTTCAGTGGGACCGTGATTTCACCCCTTTGGTAAGGGGTGTTCAACTCAGCGGCAAAGAAAAAAACTCTCAAGTTCCTTTCTAGCTCCCTTACCCTTTACCTGTCAGTGGGTTGGAAAAGAGCACAAATGAAGGGTGAAGAGTTCTGAAACCATCACCCAACTACCTGCACATCAGGGAGATGTCCCATCTGTTACGGGTTTGAGCCCCCATTTTGCTAAGCACTCAGTGTACAAACATAGTCTCTGTGCAGAAAGTTCAGCTTGAGTAAAATAGCATCATCCACGCTCTCCCACTGTGCAAACACTGAATGATCAGAGATCAGAAATGCCATGATAGGTCCCCAAATTTTCCCAGGGAAGATGGCTGTAGGTAGGTACGGCATCGGTTAACAGAAGTGTTTTTACTCTTGCTTAGCATTAGGCACTGTAAGACTTAGTATTTCCTTTGGTACATTGGAAGGACACTTCCAGATGGTCACTGGTATCCAAATGCTCTACAATGCCCCACCGTACAGCCCATGTGAAGTACAACAAAAGACATCAGCCAGCACTGGATTGACTCTTCAGTACTAGTGCTAATAGTGACTCTATAGTCGTGCTGTAGCCACCACAAGGACAGCACTACCAATTTGTCCATGACTCAGGTCCCAGCTTGGGGACACCAGAGTTGGCTGCCTCTGGGAGCGCTGCCTGTGTGCCCTGTGCCACGGAGGAGCAGCTCTCGTGCCATAAGGTGCCGTGTTCAGGCTGTACCTTGCCCTAAAGGTTGCACCAAGTTATGGGAGCACCAGCCAAGCCAACTGCCAAACCCTACTGTGCAGTAGTCAGCTGTTGGCATTTATGAGACCGAGGGTGGCAGATCCTCGCTGAGATTGTCACAGCTGGGGTTAGGAGTCACACTAGCAGGTACGTAGCAAGGAAATTGCTGTTGTGAAGCTCTTAGAGACCAAATAAACCCTGAGGGAAAGCCATCCCTTTTTCCCAGTACAGAAATATCCCAGAGACCAGCCTCCCAGGATGGGTGAGTACTGTCACAAGGCTCTAACTGAAATTCCTATTTGACAAGATAGGAAATAGGGTTTGCAGCTTCGACAAGATTTTTCTCACTGCAACACATGAGCACCATCTCCCTGGGCCAGGGCTGCTGCTGCTCTCCACCATGATCTGCAGTGGGAGCAGGACCAGAGGCAGCAGCAGGCAGTTCTGAAATGTCTGTTTTCACCCACCTTCTTTCTTCATGCCAGCTCTGAAGCACTTCTTCAGCCTGCAGTACCTGCACTGGTTCCTCTTGTCCTTGTCTATCACACACTGTCGGCTGAACCTGGGAGGAGATGAGAAACAAAACATGGAGCAACCAGTCTGGCATCTGCACCCTGTTCACCCTGAGCAGCCCCAAACACAGCCCCAGACCTCACTGAGCTACACAATGCCTGAACCCAGAGAAGCACCAAGGGTTTGCAAGAAATGGATTAAATCAACGTTGGCTTGGCCCAGTTCCTCATCTTCTCCACTGCCGTTCCTGCCAGCTGAGAGCGCAGCGATTTCAGACCACCCACCCAGCTAGGACTGTGAGGGTTTTGGCTGTGAAAGCGTGATTGTGACTCAAGTTGTGCTGGTGCCTGGCAGTGTAGGGAGCTCCATCTCCTACTTTCAAACAGTTATTGGCTGTTGGGTGTTGGAGCTCATTTGGTCTCACCTGTTAACACTGCCCTGCTTTGCGTAGAATAATTACATGATGGACCACAAGCCCTTTTGTGTCAGCAGCCTGGTTTTGAGGCACATGGCCTCCCAACCGCCATTTAACAGGGGGGATTTAGGAACCTATGTGTTCTTCAAGGGATGGCCCAAGTAGACTTGGCAGCTCCTGCCATGGTGGGTGAAGTGAAGGAAGAGGAATCTGCCGCGTAAAGAGGAGATGACGCGAGTTGCTCCAGGACCATCATTAGGTTGTAAAAGCTGAGGCAGTTTCCCAGACTGGTAAAAAGCCAAAGGTACAAAGGGCCGAAGACTTTCCAAAGAATGAATGTCTGCGATAAACAAGAGAGCTCTGAGCTGGGCTAAATACAGCGCGGCTCACCAAATAAGGATTTGCAGACAAGCGAGCTTTTGCTATTCGCTTGGCTTTGATGCTGTGGATCTTCCCCAAGCTGCCAAATATCACAGAGATTCATGGATTCCTGGGGAAGGGCAGTCTCCCAGGAACTGAGAGGCAAAATTTTAAAGAAACCAGTAGTAGCTGTTGCCCCCTTTTGCAAGGATCTCACAATTCCTGGGATGGGCAACATGCGGGTAGACAGTACTGTCACCCCAGGTCTCTTTCATGACTGGTGTGTGCCCTGGAGTGATAAGGACACCAGGAGCATTTTGAACAAACAGGGTGACTCACATTACAAAAATTTGGAATGCCCTTAGAGGAGTAAGAGCTCTGGAACAGAAAGAAAACTTCCAGGTTTTCATTAGACATGAAGGGCTTCAATGTATTTGGGGTTTTTACTCCCTTTCTCCAGTGCTAAAATAAACATCATTTTTCTAAGATAGCTGCTGTTTAATTTATAGCATCCTCCTGGTAAAAAAATTCTCTCAAATGTATACCTGTGTGCCAAAGTGGACGTGAATCACCACCAGTCCCCACTAGGTTCTCAGAATGATTGTAAAATCACCAGTGATATGTCAGCGTACATAGTTTAATGCATTTCATAACAAAAATGGAGAAGTTATGGCAGAGGTGGAGACTTTGGAGGTAACAAGTTCTTGGACGCTTGTTGCTTTTACTGGGAAAATCAAGAAAGGCTGTGTTTGAGATTAAATCCCTGAAGCTTTGGTGCTTTGCCACCTTGGCTTTCCCTTGCTGGGCTGTGATGAGGTCATGGTGTCACTCCACACCCAGAATCTCTATTTAGGTATTATACACACCAGCCAAGCCTCAGGTCTTTAAGTTTCCCTTGATTTACACTGTGGGGAAAGCAGTGACAGTGAACTTGCCAAATGGCTTGCTTGCTGCCAAAAAAGGTGTCAGGGTCCAAGAAGAGATAGGACTTAGTTTAATCCTTGGCTTCCTGTCCTCCGGCCATAAAGCAAACTAGAGTATTACTGTTAGCATTCATGGCGTGGTAATTTGGCATTTGGGATAGGGTCCCCACTCTACAACCTGTTCTCCATCCCAAATTATTTACACTGTCAATAAATTGTATTTATGTTTTTGCAGAAAGGGCAGGTACCTGCAGGAATAGACATGGTTCTTACGGACGCTCCTCCTGAAGAAGCCTTTGCAGCCGTCACAGCTGGATGCCCCATAGTGCTTGCCGGTCGCCCGGTCCCCGCAGATGGAGCAGAGGGAGCTGATGCCGTTGGTGAGCAGGTTGGTGTTTGCTGATTCGGCTGTGATGGCCTCTGTGGGCAAGAAACAGGGACCATTAGACCCCTCTGTGATGGAAACCAGAATTGTTTCACAACAAGTTGATTTTTTTAAACAAAGCATGTACAGACCCAGCCTCCCCACATGTGTGCACACACAGTATGTGTTGCTAGTAAAGCCTCCGGGTTGATGGTCATGCTCTTCTCAACCTCAGCTGAGAGTAACTCAGTTGCTTTGTTTCTGATACTGGTGTTTTTCTTTGCTTCAGTGAACAGAGAGATTTCCAAAGCTGTGTAACCCAACATGCTCATGAGGAGTTAACAATTATCATACTTTCCTTGACAGATGCAGGGAAACCTTACCTGGATGTGGGATACATGCTTTTGAGGGATGGGGAGCCATCTCCTCAGTTACACACCTGGAGAACGTGGTTCAAAGCTGGTTCCCACAGAAGACAATGGAAAGAACATCATTAAGTTCAATAAACAGAAAGCACAGAAGAGAGAGCAGAGGCAGGAAGGATGGACCACTTCATGCATGTGACAGAGATACAAGGCTGGAGATAAAAGGCTGCTCTTGAGAGGTCCTCTGGGGCTGTAAGACAGAGACAGCAGCTCCCACAGGGGTCACTTTAGTTCTCCTCAGTCTGGTTCTTGCTCTGAACTGCCCCCTGAAGAGGCTCATTGCACTGGAAAGCAGTAGAGGAGTGCAAGAAGATCGACCTTCTAAATTAGGGACCTAAAATTAGGTCGTATGAATGCCCTCTGTCATGTCCTCTGTACCCACTCATTTGGGGCAGGAATAGCTCTGCCCCTGCCTGGCCTGTGTATACACTGCTGACAACTCCCCTTTAAACTTCTCCCTTGGCCTTAACCACCAGACTTGCTGCCCTCTTAATCCTCCTAATTTGAGGCAGAGCTTGGGGAAGAAAAAAAAAAAAAAGGGAAAATTAAAAAAAAGGAGACACTTAAGAAGATGCAGATGACAGTGTTTACATCTTGCTGAGAGAAGGAATGTTTGTGGAGTCTGTCCTGACCTGGGCACTTGCTGGGGGATGGTTTTATGAATTTATCACACCTCTGGGAGCATGTTCTTCACTCCAGGAGAACCGATCTCGTGCTACAGTGACCTCAGCAAAGCCTCTGGGACAAGACGCGTCCTGCCCCGCAGAAGAGACAGGCAGTGATGAGAAAGGCTCAGCTGCTGTTGTATTGAGCAACGGCAAATCTTAGAGAAAATTACTCAAAGGGGAGGATTGGCATCTGATCTGGACAGGCTAGAGAAAATTTCTAATGCATAATGCATAAAAATAGCTTTGGGTAATCCACACAACAACATGTATGTATACAGGGAGAGAGAGAAGGCTATTTTTGTATATGAATACACATAAAAAAATTATAGTAAAAATATTTGCTATGCAATGAAAATTGTAATCAAAAGCCAGGAAAAAAAATAGCCAGTAAAACTTTAGTCTTTCAAAAACTGGAAAGTTTGTTAGCTAAGACTAAGACATTTTTAGCTAAGAGTTCACAAATGCAAAGGTCAGACTTCTTTCACCCCCTCAAAAAACCCTTTTGATGGAAAATTGTAATCAAAAGCCAGGAAAAAAAAATAGCCAGTAAAACTTTAGTTTTTTCAAAAACTGGAAACTTTGTTAGCTAAGACTAAGACATATTTAGCTAAGACTTCACAAATGCAAAGGTCAGACTACTTTCACCCCCTCAAAAAAACCCCTTTTGATCTATATTTCACCATCTAACATATGGATGAATAAATAAGTAGCTTGTAGCAAGACAGGAGCAACAAGAAAAGCAAGAATGACAGCATCAAAATCATTCTTAGGTCATGAGAGGAACTGAGATTTAACTGTTCCCAAAATCTGTGTAAGATGCTCCCAGCTCTGACATTTGTTAGTGAGTGGCACTTGAGTCCTTTGGGAACATTGTCTGCATCAGAGGTGCTTAATGATAATTTATATTGATTTTTAGGTTTTTTATGTTGACTTTTCTTTTTATTTTGCTTGATAACTCAGTATTAAATGAGCTGTACTAGAATATTCCTTCGAGGGTAACTGTACTGCTGAACATTTGTGCATCTGTTGCTCCATTTATTTTTTTGAAGGAACATATGACCATAAACAAATGCACCAAGTGTGCTGGATTCCATTTAAAAAAAAAAATTGCACAACAAAAATAAAGATAAGAAGGCCAATTTTCTCTTCGCTCCACTCGATTTTTTCTACTGACTTCAGAGGAATGGAGCCGAGGTCATACTGTTTGGGTCTCAAATGGACCATTCTTCCCTTCAGCTGGGTCCAGATTGCAAAATGTTCCCTGATGCTGGAAAGCCTTTACTCACCAGAGGGTTGGTTTTTTTTTCCCTTAGATTGCAAAATGTTCCCTGATGCTGGAAAGTCTTTACTCACCAGAGGGGTTTTTTTTTCCCCTTAATGTGAGTAGGATATGTGAGGAGCTGCTTGCTGCTATAAAGAATAAATTAATAAACTGGTCTTAAACCAAATATTACTGGAGGAAGCACCATCAGCACTGAACATGTAAGGGCCCATGGAAGCTAACAAACCAAATTTTGCCCTCACTTGTGCCCGTGAAAACACAGACTAGCCCGTGGGCTACAGCTGAGTTTGGTGGCTCTAGGTTAGAGCAGATAGACAGCTAAGAGTTCAGTCCCTGTTAGGTAGCCATGTGTCCTTTTCAGCTTGGTTGGAGGTGAACAGAAATTTGAAAAAAAAAAAAAGAAAAGAAAATGAAAGCCCTAAGCCAGTATGCACATGTTAATTATGATTAATTTTAATTACAAAATCCTGTCACCAACTAACGATGAGTTCCAAATGAGAATTAGCTCAGAGAAGAGCAAAGGCATAACTAATACCATGTGCATCAGAAGACTGTTTCAAGGAGGCTTTCAAACCCACCCAGTTTTGGGGAATGTCCGGGTTTTCCCTGGACTGATCACTGCTAGGAAAGGCAGTGGAAAGCCAGGATCTCTGCCAGCACAGTTGTCTGCCTGTGAAAACAGCTGAAAACTGGAGACTGTTTACTTCAACTCTGGCTGACACAAGGTGATAACCTCCTCAGAGCTTCATTTAACATGTTGTGCCTCTCTAGAGGGGTTGCTACCTGGAGCTCAGCACCACACTGAGATGGCCTCGAGGGCTGCTAGGATGGATTTGGTTGGAGTCCAGCTAGCTCACAACAGCTGAAACAAGCTCACAACTGTCCTCACCACCCTGCAGAGAAATGCTGGGAGACGTGTGTCAGTTAGAGATGCTCATTACCAAGCTATAACAGAAGAGTTCTTAAGCCATGCCACAGTGCCCCTGAACTTTCTCCTGGAGAGATGCAACTGATGACTTTCTCCAAGAAGAGACCATAACTCATCTTGACTTTGAATGGGTCCCTGGCTGAGCTGAAGACCTGTGGTTGTGGCCAGACTCCTCACGAGGACTGTCCCACTGGCAGAAAAATCTGAAGTTTCAAGCATCTTTTGCAAGTTACATATAAGCAGGGTGCAGATTGGGAACCACAGCCTACCTAATGATGATAAAGTTATCCCGGTATCTTCACCAGCTTTGGGGTCAACCAAGCTCACAACCAAAATGCACACAAATTTTGTTACCTACTGTCTCTATAGGTAAGTCATGACCTAAGCAGGGCTGAAATGAAGATGCCAAGTTTTACAGTGATAAGAAATGACAGTAAGGACAGTCTATGTGAGGATGCTGCTGGGGAGTGGTACCTGGCTTCCATTCAGAGCTGGACTCTGCATGATACCTCACCACTGCAGACCTCTTTGCTGCTTTTCTTTTAACTTAAGTTACTGGCTACATCTCCTCTAGATGCTCATTGTATAAGAGAACCGCCTTGCAATACTTTCCAGAATGGCTTTTTCTTTTATCTACCCAGAAATCCAAGCCAGCCTTGGCTTGTGACTCTGGTGCGTGCAATTTGCAGCTAACAAATCCCCAAATTCCGTGCTGGGCTAGAATGTAAAGAGATCACAAATACAGTTTTTAGGGCACGCACACGCAGTCAAACTTGGTGGCCAATGCCAGCGTTGCGAAACCTGTGCATACAGATGTGGGGCTGGATGGGGGCTAGCGCTGAAGCCCTGGCCACGTGCAGGTCAGCTGCTTTCTACATCAGCTTTTAGCAAACAGAGGGGGAATTTTTGAGTCAGTGTTCCCAAATCCTACAGTAACAATGATGAGGAGGTCAGCCAGAAAGGCCAGAGCTCCTCGCAAGCACACATGCAGCTTGTGGGATGGTCAGGTACTCTCAGAACATCTTTGATGGCTTTTTTATGGTCTGAGTTGGGTCAGACTGCAGCGGGGCTGGGAACAAAGTTTCACCAGCATTGTGCCCAAGTCCCAAGGATCAGCATGGAGTTTGAGTGCTGAGATGGGAAAATGAGCACCACAGTGGGAGAAAGTGTTTGCCAACACTCAACGAAAGAATTAGTGCAATATTTCAATAATGCTTCATATTTTAAGCAAAATGACAACTCTGACAAGAGCGTGAGCAAATGGGTATTAACAGCACATAAAAGCCAAGTGAGAACATGGCTTGCAATGCCAGCCAAGGTAAAGGAAACAAGTTTGCACAAAATGGGAAAATTGCTGCAGTTACAACACATTTTATAAAGGAAAGATGGGATTAGCATTCATTTCTGTTCGTTTCCTTTTCCCATTCTTTCTAACTAAAATAGACAATTTTTTTACACTCCTCCTCCACTTCCATAGTGGATTCTATTCATTATTTTGAACTCATCTCAAAATATTTGACAAATTAGGGGCTATTAAAAGGTGGTAAACCCAAAATAGATACCTAAGCAAATCTCAAAATGATAGCAGCTTCCTGAAGCAGAAAGGTTAGCACCGGAAGCGCTCCACATCATTAATCAACCCAAAACATTGAAAAAATAATATTTCAAAGGAGGAAAGAGTGGAATATTAAGAAAACATGACCATATTTGAAAATATCCTAATTTTCACTTTAAAAATTATCCAGAATGTAAGAAACAATCATGAGTCCATTAAAATAAACATTGCACCCTTTCCTGTTCATATTTATATAGAGGGCAAACCTGCCATTACATTTACTAGGGGAAATAATAGAGAATGATCTTGCACAGTGGGAAAGATAAAACTTAAAACAATGCAATATAATTTTTAAAAATACCTAAAATGAGATCTTGATTTGAACAATTTTGAAAACATTTCAGAAGCTGCTGAATATCTGTGTGAACTGTTATTTTGGTTACTTTTAGGAACTGAACCCAGCTGATTAGCAATATACTTCCATGCATGGACATTTCAGGTCTTTTTTGAAGTTATTTTTACAAACTGTAGAAGAGGACACTTACACAAGACAAACAAGCTAATTTCAAAACAGCTAGTTCCTGAGAGAACCAGTTACTCATTAACAGCTAAACAAATAACACAATACTGATCTAGATAAACTTCAGAAAAAACTCAACCTGTCAGTTCCACTGCATGAAACAGCAGAGAGCCCCAAACAGGTTTTGGTAGTTAATTTGCAAAATTATATTGAATTTTGAGGAAACCTGTACCACTCCAAAAAGTAGCAAATATCTTGTTGTTCAGCAGCAAGTGACAAACAGAAACATCTGTGTTAAATAACATCTCTGGAGTAAGATGGCAGGCGGAAACCTTTCTGCAAGAATAAGAAATAACAGCCAGTGTATCTGGAGCTAGCAAAAAGATGTATTGAAAATTTATTTGGGGACAGATGGAGTGTTTCTTGAAGTCAAATTCAATTCAAGTTTCTTTGGGCCTTTTAACTTTACTCGTCTCCTGACATACCTCCATGTCCCACCACAATAAGTCATCCAATCATTTTATATCGTAGACAATAGCCCTACTGAAACTCTGATATTTATTTTTTACGAGGCAGCTAATAAGCAAACGTGAGTTCCTGAAAACCCCATCTTAATTTCACTAAGCTTCTTAACAAATTAAATGAAATGCTGCCAAAACTCTCCAGAGGCATTGCTAGCATTGGAACCTCTTTCGGTTACATGATTGGTTTCATGCTATATGACTGAAACGTCCTTTATTTTTCACACAATGAACAGTTAATTTCACAGAAGAGCATTTGCGTATGTCAGAGTACTTTTGGCTACTCAAAACCTAAATATCACGCAATACGCTTTAATTCTGTGAACAAAGCGGAAGTCTATGCATATAAACACTCACACCTTGCAGCCAAGTTCTTTGTGTGCTGTAAAGCCTTTTAGACCCTCTTTGTAGCCCCCCCCCAAAAAAAAGGTAAGTAACAATTTGAATATTGCTTTCCAATTTAAGTTAAATTGTGCCCAATTGTGCACATGGTGTATTGTCTGAGTAACAGACAAATGACATTTAAGATGACATTTTTACAGGGATTAAATACGGACCTAAATCATATATGGGGATGAAACACATGTTTTAAGGAAGAAATATTAGTAATAACTCCTCTCATAAGTCATACAGGGGAACAAAACTATCGTGTGCCATCAAGAGCTCCACCAACACGCACAATACTTTTGGGATCTTCAGGACATGGCGCTCAGCCCACCAAGGAAAAGAATAACTCAAAATAGGACCAACACACAAAGGGGTCCCATTTCAGCCCAAACGTAATGGCAAATACAACACAAGTTGACAGGTCAGCTGCTTAAATGTTTCCCCTTCCACCCTTTGCCCCACACCTCCTACCTGCCTTTCCTGGGCGTTCGGCTTTATAACAAAGGTAGTGGAAGTTATTCAAGAGGAAGCAAAGAGAAATCTCACCAGCGTTATTTGGGAGCACCCGAAGGTTGTCAAATTCCAGCATGGTATAAGAGGAGTCCAAGGAGTCGACATAATCTGGCATATCCATGTCCATGATGGACTGACAAAGCTTCATTATTACTTGTCAACGGCAAGGGAAGCGGCAAAAAAAAAAGCCCTGCTGTCAATCACGGCCAAGGTTTCCTCCACACAGAGAGACACCCCAGCCCTCGCGATGACAAATCATTACCCAGCTCTGCCCGCAGTCCCCTCCCCGTGCCAGGAGAGAAGGGACGAAGCCATTCCCTCTCACGCACGCAGTCCCCTCCCTTCCTGGGGTGCATCTGTGCTCTCTCGGTCCTGATAATATGATGTAGATAAGGCCTAGACTCAAACGACTTGGATTGCATCTTCGGGTCAATACAGCCCGGTTTATGGCTGTTCCTGCGCAAACATTTTGAAAAGGGCTGCGAAGAGGCGGTCGCGCACATGCGTGTTCTTCCAGGGCAAAGCAATGGTGCCATCAAATAACACCTGGGCCAATGTCACCTTGCTCAGCTACCAGTCCCTGGGAGAAGACCAAATGATGTCACTTGAAGACAATGAGTCCACGTCACCACCAGCTGAAGACCGTCAAGATAGGCCAGCATTGAGAACCTGAGGCATTACCATGAGACACCCACAGTCCCACATGTTGGATCACACCCTGAGTTGCTACTAGAAGGGAAAAATGAGGCTTCATTACAGCAGGCCACGTGGTTTCACCCTGCCCCATGGGCAGAAGGGCGGTGACCTCCCACCCAGCACCTACCATCCCTGCCACCTGCATCTTCTCCCTCCTGACTCCAGGTAGCCCCAATCTCCCAACGCTCCCATTGAGAAAGAGCTCGGTTGTGGTTGCGAGCTGTTAGGGCAGGAGGTTTCAAGTGATGGCAAATGATGAAAATGGAAAAGGCTGGAAGGAACTGGGCAGACTCCCTGGCAGATATGTGGTGTTGCGTTTCACGCTGACCCATGCCTGGCTTTTCTGGGAAAGGCCTGTATTATGGAAATACAATTCCAGTTTTTCCCCACAGGCCTGTGGTTTGGTTGTGATTCTTTTTTTTTTAATTAACTGAATTTTTCACAGGAGTTCTTTCCTTGTTAAGACTCATGAGCTGTACTGCAAAAGCCTGGAAATGAAACACAGCCATGCAAAGTGAGATGATACCTTGAAGTGCTTGGTTTATTCTTGGTTTCACCTTCCAGATGCCTTCCCTGACATTACAGTTCCCTCTCCAGTGACGTTGGTTTGTGTCAGAGGGCCTTTCCTTTCCATGAGCTGTTCTGTGAGATCCAGTTCAACATCCTGTTGAATCTGGAGTAAAAGAAGAGTCTTGAGAAATAGGGAGACATGTTGCCAGAAAAGGAGCCTTGGCCAAAAGAAGAGGACTGCCAGACTGCCTGAACTCTCACTGAACCAAGGAGCAGGGCGGCCCCATGTATCCTAGCAATCTCCAAATAGCAAGAAATACGCCAAAGCTGAGTTTTGAAATGTCTTAGATATACTCATTTTGATTTTATCCCAATTTCACTTCTTTTTTTTTTATTTTATTTAATGGATCCTAGCAATCTCCAAATAGCAAGAAATACGCCAAAGCTGAGTTTTGAAATGTCTTAGATATACTCATTTTGATTTTATCCCAATTTCACTTCTTTTTTTTTATTTTATTTAATGGATTTTTCCATATCCTGGAGACTTACAGTGGACGTTGTAATGGGTTAACTCTAGATAGGCTTTTCCCCTATAAAGATTGGGTGCAGGAACACTTAGCTTTATTTTCTTATCATTTCTGGGACATAAAATAATTTCATGTGCCATAGATATTTTTCTTTCCTTCTTTCCTTTTTTAAGAGCATGTTGTAACTAGTGGTTCACAAATGACTCCTTAGTTAGATAAGACGTTATGTTTTTATCCTTGGACTATGCCCCCAGGCTTTCAGTAATGCCAGCATCAGCTAACTTAGCATCTGATTAGTCGTTCTTGCCTCTTACTCAATGTCAGTCTTGATTATGCCTATTAATCTGGCACATTTTTTGAACTGCACTGTAGGCACAATCCTGCTGGATTCTCAGCTTCTCTGCTTCTCTCAGTTGATTCTTTACTGCTATTGCAGCTAGGAATTCTCACATTTCTACAATCCAGGGTGTGTGTGTGTATGGGTTTCTCATAGTTAAAATAGCCATATTGGTACTCACCGTGCTTTTGAGTAGTTGTAGTCCAAAGAGAAGACATTTGAGCTCCTGCACTGATATCATTGGCTTTAGACACCCTTTGATGTTCTTATCTCTCAGTCCAAAGTGAGAGTTAAGACTTATTTACAAAGAAATCTGGGCAGTGGGGATGTGCTTGGACATTTTTCATTCTGGGAATGAGAAAAGGGTATTGGGAACGAGAGAAGGTTATAGAACAAATTTCAGAGTTCAGGACCAGATTTCAACATCCCATCCATATTGATAATCAGGACTGACTTGTTATGGAGGGTGGTGTTGGATTCTACATGGCATTTCTATCTATTTCAAACAGATGTAAGCACCCTGTTCCAAACCACTCTAGCACAAAAGCAGCCCTGAAGAGTACCAAAACTTTGCTGAGGGTTGAACAGTTTCTTCTTTTTCCTTTCCTTGGTTTCTTACATCACTTTCTGAGTCACAGCTGCAATACAACTGCAATCTATATTCAAGGCTGGGACTGGATTTTATTAACATCAGGAGAAATCCAACTGACTTTGAGGTGCTCTCATATGTGCTCAGCATGGTTCATTACTGCAATGAAGCAGACACTTGTCCCAGCTGAGAACCAGAAAATCTCTAGCTGGTTTCTTCATTGACTTACCTGCCTTTAACCTGACAGAGGAGGCCAGCTGGGGAGGCAGGGAGAGATCTCTCTCCAGTACACCTCAAGCAAGAGGTCTACATAAATCTGCCCTTGGAAAGCTCAATTTGATGTGGGAAACAGGCTGGTGGAAGGTGGGAGAGGACTGGTATTTGGCTTCAGTGCTTTGGCATCACCCTGAAGGACAGCGAGCCTGAAGTCCCTTTGCTCTTCTCAACAGCATCTCCCAGGGTGTCCAGAGGGTACACATCAGCCTTGATCGGTCTCTGGTGGAAACACATGCTGAGCATGTAAGAAGCACTTTGGGGATAGGAGGAATCTCAAATCCTTCACAGAGGGGGGCAACAGTAAAGAAAGATTTGAAGGTAGAGATTTGTGGGGTTTACCAACAGCTCTCTGCTGAGACACTCTGACCAGGACCTGAGCTCCCTACAGGACAGAGACATGTTAGCTCTCAAGGAGCTACTTCAGCTACAGCTATCTGTGTCTGCAGATGTTCTGGTCCTCCCTGCAGTGTGCCAGTGCCAACCAGGTCAAACAAGGGCTACTACATTGAATGCACAAGGCTCTGGAAGAAACTCCTCACTTCTGAGGTGAGAGGAGACCTGGTGGGACACAAGCCAGGCCCTGATCTTTCTCCACCACCCATTTCTAACCTTCTCTCAGTGCACAGAAAAGATGGGATTGCTCAGGTCCTTGCATAGGTCAAGTGCTGACCCGAGGTCAAGGTAACTCCAATACGGTTCAGAGCTATTAACCCCATTAGGTAGACATATGGGTTTGAAGAGCTCTCACCAGAACGCATCAGGGAAGACAAAAAAACATCTGCCTGTCCCATATCGCTCCGTTTTCTCACCCAAAGGAGGAGGAGGAGAGGAGTGTGTGCTAAGCCCAGATGTCCATGCTGCTGCTGGGACTGCCAGGGGGTAGCAGCCACCCAGCTGTGGGCTGCATGAGAAACCCTACTGGAAACAGCAGCAAATAGTCCCCCTTGGGGTTGCTACACCTCACACACACGTCTTAGCAAACAGTGTTAAAAGAGGGAGAGAACTTCTGTGTAAGAGCACTCCCTCCGGGCTGCAGAACTGACGCTCACGTAGCTGAGTAGACCCCGATGCACTGCATACAGAGGTAACTGGGGTTTGTCCAAAACACCTTGCTGTTTTTCTAGTGAGGGGAAAGAACTGGGGGAGTCTGTGCTTTCCTTGAGTGCTCAGGCATTGACTCACCTGCACAGGCATCTTCGGTGCACAGACAACCGAAGGTGAGACTGGATGGTATCGCACAGCATTCCCAGTTGACGGCAAATTGATGTCACTCCTCCTCCATACGGACATAAGCCTCTTTAATGTTTTCCTTTTATTCCTTTTTTGACTCAGCAAGGCTGGATATAGCTGGAGGGTGCAGGCGAAAGGGGAGAAGGGAGAAAAAAAAACAGAGTTATGTTTAATAAAAATAGTATGAACGTTCAAAGATAGCGAGCTGGGAATGAATCAATATGGTTTCTCATACATACTGCAGAGAGGACAGAGGGCAAGCTCTGACGAACACATGGTCTCAATAAGACCAGAAACTTATTCCTAGAAATAAAATTCAGATGCTTTTGGAAATGCTTGTTGAACAAGACGAAGTACAGAAAAGATAAGAACTCTTTGATTAATTAGGAGAGAACTCAAAGTATCACAAGCAAGCCACCAGGAACAACATTTCTTTGGCAAGGTAAGTGGTGGGAGGTGGTGTTTGCAACCATGGCAGCTGCACATCCATCTCCAGAGGCTGTTCTTTACAGTGACACTGCTGCACATGGGGAGAGGTCTCCAAGACACTAAAACCTAGGGAAAGACTTGTTGCTATGCAAAATGGTGAAGCAGACTTCAGCAACTACCTGTATTTTTGTCAGATCTTTTCTTCCTTTACTCTTAGATGCACATTTAAAAGCCCAACCACAGTTTTGAAGATTTTCTCCATCTGAAATGCAGCCATAATTATACCCTTTCCTGGCCTTGCAGGGGTTAGTGAGCATAAATCCACCAATGTTCAGGTTGTTCTCAGGTACCAGAAGCAACTGTAGCCATAAAATTACCTACTTAGAGGGAGGGTGTTTGGATAAAAACAATAATCAAAAGACAGAAGCCAGTAAGGCCTTTTTTCTGGGTAATGTATAATTAGAAACAGCATGCTTCTGAGATTATAAGCAGTGTGAAATCATATCATTAGCATATAATTACAACAGCAGACATGACAAATTTATCTAGACCAGATGTCTATTACATCAGTTCCCTCCTTTCTTGGGTGCAGTTTCTTATGGTATATATCACTGAATGATATTTGTGATACAGTT